TGGACTTGGGGCTGGAAGGATAGGTTGGAGTCCAGAATGACACCAAGTACTCTGGCCTGCGGGGCGGGTTTGATGGTGGCGTTGTTGGATGTGATGAAGAAGTCAATGGGGGGGGGTCTGAGCTGGGGGGGAAGACAAGAAACTCGGTTTTGGAGAGGTTCAGTTTAAGGAAGTGGAGTGACATCCAGTCTGATATGTTGCTCAGTAGGTGTGTGATTCGGGCGGAGACCGAGGGGGTGAGGTGGGGGGTTGAGAGATAGATTTGTGTGTCGTCGGCATAGAGGTGCTAGTTGAGGCTGTGAGAGTGTATGAGTTGGCCAAGGGAGGAGGTGTAGGTGGAGAAGAGAAGGGGCCCGAGGACAGAGCCTTGAGGGACCCCAACAGAGAGGGGGAGTGAGGGGGAGGTGGTAGCATTATAGGTAACGCTGAAGGAGCGTTGTGACAGGTAGGATGAGAGCCAGGAGAGAGCAGAATCTCTGAGACCGAGGGAGTGTAGTTTTTTGAGGAGGAGGGGGTGGTCGACTGTGTTGAAGGCCGCAGAGAGGTCTGACTGTGTGAATGTACAATATATATGTAAAGCGCTGTGTACATTGACGGCGCTATAAAAGTACCTGTAATTATATATCTATATCTATAAAAAGCAGTAATATGGGTGAAGTGCACAATGATGATCAATCACAGTGCATAGCAATCAGGCCCTCTCAAAGGCCATATCCAGAAAAAAGAAAAATGGGATTGCTGCACATGAAGAAAAAAAAAAACAAAAAACTTTTATTGTTGAAAAATCACCATACAAAAGAGTGATCGAAAAAAAATGGACAAAGCCAAACGTCATAGTGTTCAACAAACCATTTCAGGCTGTTATGTTAAGGCCCTTATATATGATGTGTTCTGATCTGAAGAAGGGCGTTAACATAACAGCCCGAAATGGTTTGTTGAACACTATGATGTATGGCTTTTTCCATTTTTTTTCGATCAATGTTTTATATGGTGATTTTTCAACAATAAAAGTTTTTTTTTTCTGTACAGCAATCCCATTTTCTTTATATATATATATATATATATATATATATATATATATATATATATATATATATATATATAGTTTGCGTCCCCTGGCAGAAACGGTGAAATTGGCATGGATATTGAAAATATGAGTGATCGTGCCAAAGAATCTCTGTTATTTAATAGATTGTAAGCTCCCAGGATCAGGGCCCTCCTATCCCTCTTGTATTGAACTGTGTCATTGTATTGTCTCCCATTATATTGTAAAGCGCTGAGCAAACTGTTGGCGCCATAAATCCTGTATAATAATAATATTTAAGGATAGTGATCATATGAATACAGGCGTACCTCGGTTTACGAATTTAATGTGTTCTGCGGGACTTTTCGTATTGCAAAATATTCGTAAACCAAAACGCGGTTTCCCATAGGAATGCATTGAAAGCCAATTATTCTGTTCCGGAGGTCAGAAAAAAGTTAAAAAAAAAGTCTTTTATCTGTCCAAAACGGTTTTATAAAGTGCACATTAAAGGCATAAATACTGTACAGGGACATGATAAAAAATGAATTCGTAAATGCATTGAAAACCAATTCATCCGTTTGTATTGCGAAAAAAATGTGTAAACCGAGACATTATTTTCAATGGATTTTCATCTGTAAACCGAAAATTACGTTAACCGAGGCGGTCGTAAACCGAGGTGCGTCTGTACATTTATTATCACATAGTTGTTTGTTTTAAATCATAATAACAAAAATCACCCAAATGGCCCTGATAAAAAAAAGTTTCCATCCCCGGGCATATCTGGCCTTGGAACAGATACACAAGGTGACACACACAGGGTAAAGTTAAAGATTAATGTCCCACATCTGTGGCTTTTTAAATTGCAATTAGTATCTGCGTATAAATAGTCAATGAGTATGTTAGCTCTCATGTGGATGCAATGAGCAGGCTAGATACTGAGCCATGGGGAGCAGAAAAGAACTGTCAAAAGATCTGCGTATCAAGATAATAGAACTTTATAAAGATGGAAAAGGATATAAAAAGATATCTGAAGCCTGGAATATGCCACATTGTGCTGTTCAATCACTTATTAACCACTTCCAGTCCGGACACTTTCACCCACTTCCAGTCCGGACACTTTCCCCCCTTCCAGTCCGGACACTTTCCCCCCCTTCCAGTCCGGACACTTTCCCCCCCTTCCAGTCCGGACACTTTCCCCCCCTTCCAGTCCGGACACTTTCCCCCCCTTCCAGTCCGGACACTTTCCCCCCTTCCAGTCTGGACACTCCCCCCCCTTCCAGTCCGGACGCTTTCACCCCCTTCCAGTCCGGACGCTTTCACCCCCTTCCAGTCCGGACGCTTTCACCCCCTTCCAGTCCGGACGCTTTCACCCCCTTCCAGTCCGGACGCTTTCACCCCCCTTCCAGTCCGGACGCTTTCACCCCCCTTCCAGTCCGGACGCTTTCCCCCCCCCTTCCAGTCCGGACACTTTCACCCCCCCCTTCCAGTCCGGACACTTTCACCCCCCCCTTCCAGTCCGGACACTTTCACCCCCCCCTTCCAGTCCGGACACTTTCACCCCCCCCTTCCAGTCCGGACACTTTCACCCCCCCCTTCCAGTCCGGACACTTTCACCCCCCCCTTCCAGTCCGGACACTTTCACTCCCCCCTTCCAGTCCGGACACTTTCACCCCCCCTTCCAGTCCGGACACTTTCACCCCCCCCCTTCCATTCCGGACACTTTCACCCCCCCCCCTTCCAGTCCGGACACTTTCACCCCCCCCTTCCAGTACGGATACTTTCACCCCCCCCTTCCAGTCCGGACACTTTCACCCCCCCTTCCAGTCCGGACACTTTCACCCCCCCCTTCCAGTCCGGACACTTTCACCCCCCCCTTCCAGTCCGGACACTTTCACCCCCCCCTTCCAGTCCGGACACTTTCCCCCCCCCCTTCCTGTCCAGGCCAATTTTCAGCTTTCAGCGCTATCACACTTTGAATGACAATTGCACGGTCATGCAACACTGTACCCATATGAATTTTTTAGCATTTTTTTTTGAGACAGATAAAGCTTTATTTTGGTGGTATTTATTCACTGCTGGGATTTTTATTTTTTTTGGCTATGTAATGAAAAAGTCCAAAAATTGCGAAGTGCGAAAAAAGTGTTTTTCAAATTAGTTTATAACCAAAAATTATAATTTTTAGAAATTTTTTTTTACATTTTTATTTTTTTAATATTTTTAGTTTTTTTTTACTTACTGTCACCCTAGCAGTACAGTACTACTTGTGGGGGGTGATGAAGAAAAAATTTTTTTTTTTTTTTTTTTTTACACTGATTGATTTTACAGCCTTTATGGGTGTAAAAGCAATCATTTCTCCTTATTTCTGGCTGCATTCTTGCAGCCATTGAGAAATACTGTGAGAACTGTGATTGGTCACAGCTTCTCACATGGTACAAGGCTGTTGTGAATAGCCCTGTACCATGTGATTTCTGTGATCATTCACAGATTTCACACGTAGTAAGCAAAGATTTTAGAAGTGACATCTTGCTTACAACTCTTCATGTGATCACTGATTGGCCAATCAGTGATCACATGATCGGGACCTCCCAATCCGATGATCGGTGTTCCACTGTGTACGGAGGACACAGTGGGCACCGGATCGCGGTGCCGAGCACTCCCAGGAAGCGCGCACAAGCAGGGTGCGGGGAGGCTCTTTATAAACGGCCACCCGACCCTGCACTGCCACCGTCCGGCCGTTTATATACAACGGGGCCGGACGGGAAGTGGTTAAAAAAAAAAAAATTTGGGGATCTCTTGATACCAAGCCAAGGTCATGTAGACCAAGAAAGATTGCAGCCATAGCTGACAGAAGAATTGTTCAAGTGAAAGAAAAACCCACAGGTAATGTCAAGGAGAAATCCAGGCTGCTCTGGAAAAAGATGGTGTGGTTATTTCAAGGAGCACAATATGATGATGCTTGAACAAAAATGAGCTGCATGGCCGAGTTGCCAGAATGAAAAAAGCCTCTACTGCACCAATGCCACAAAAAAGCCCGGGTACAATATACCCAACAACACCTTGACACACTGTAATCTGGAGTGATGACACCAAAATAGAGCTTTATGGCCACAACAAAGAGCCTTTTTTGGAGAAGAAGAATAAAAAACGAACTGCGCTGAGTGATGTAGCAATCACGCCAACATCCCAAATAAAATAACAATTGCAAATGTAGATCGCACCCCCCCCCCCAGAAAAGTCCTAGGGGGTGTGAGATCTATATTTGCATTTGTTTGGAGAAGGGTCAACAAGGCCTATAGCAACAAGAATACCATTCCAACTGTGAACCATGTTGGTGGCTGGCTGATGTTTTGAGGGTGCTGAGCGCTAAAGGCACGGGTAAATCTTGGAAAATTGACGGTAAGATGAATGCAGCATGCTATCAGGAAATACGGGCAGACGATTTGCTTTCTTCTGAACGAAAGCTGCATATGGGACGTTCGCACTTTCCTGCAAGACAACGACCCAAAGCACAAGGCCAAGCTGACCCTCCAGTGGTTACAGCAGAAAAAGGTGAAGGTTCTGGAGTGGCCATCACAGTCTCCTGACCTTAATATCATTGAGTCACTCTGGGGAGATCTCAAACATGCAGTTCATACAAGACGACCAAAGATTTTGCATGACCTGGAGGCATTTTGCCAAGACGAATGGGCTGCTCTACTACCCGCAAGAATTCGGGGGGCCTCATAGACAAGCGGGGTTTACCTGCTCACTCATGTCTTCTGTAAAAATGGTACAAACTGTGTATTACCGATTCTCCGAGGGGAAGCAGACGTCTAAGCACAACGGTACAAACACACACAGATTTTTTGGGGGCAATTGTTCTTCCATCAGACACCAACATGTACAGTAGTACTGCAGCCAGAAACAATTAGGGCACACTCACTTCTTGGCCAAGGTGCAAAAATATAGTAGCTGAAGAAAAAAAAATAAAAAGTGTCTAAAGGACAGTTTTCTCCACGTTTTCCTCATCTTCGGGGCCCCAAGTCACCTCTGTGTGGGCCTGGTCCTCCTTCATCTCAGGTCTGCCTTTGCTCTGATCTTTAGACCCCGCTCTCTCCACCCCACCTCCGGGGTTCCCATCTAATCCTCCGAGGAGGGTCTCCAACATTTCCTGGTGGTCTCTCTGCGATTGGTTCTCTAAAAAGTTGAGAAGAGCCGGTTGGAAAATAGACAGCGTGTTCTGGGGGTCGGAGGCGGGCAGGACAGGTACAAAAAGGGGAGGTACAAAAAAAAAAAACCAAAAAAAACTCTGCTCGGTCACCTGCACAGTGGTTAGGTAGGTACGCAGGCCGGCAGGGTCGGTGTATAACAAGATCCCGATCCAGACGACAGTTCCGGCCTAAAGTTAAGAGAGACAAACAGTGAGCTATCCAGTGCTCAATACCAAGTGGCAACAGCAAAAAAAGACAAATCTTGAAATATATTAAAAAAAGGAGCTAAAAAATAATATATTAGCATGCTATCAGCCTGTATGAATCTGCAAGGCCTGAATATAGGGGGGAGTCGGCCTTACCTATATGGAAGAAAAATATATTTGAAATACTACAATTTTGGCTGAATTCAATAAATATATATATATATATATATATATATATATATATAATATATATAAATATACAAACACACACACACACAACACACACAAAACACAACAAAACACAAACAAATATACAAAAAAAACAACAAAACAAAAAACAAAAAAAAAACAAAAAACAACAAATAAAAACCACACACCAAAAAATAACCAACCACAACACACAAAATACCCCAAACACCAAACCATAAAAACAAAAACACAAAAAAAACCAAAACACAAAAATAAAAATAAACAAAAAAAAACACAACAAAAAAAAAAAACCCCCCAACAACAATAAAATAAAACACACAAAAAAACCAAAAAACCACAAAAAAAAAAAAAATAAAAAAAACACAAACACAAAACCAACAAAATATATAAAAAAACATAAAAACCCAAAACCCAAAACCCACAACATCATTTATACAACACAAAATAAACACACAAAAAAAAACAAAACCCCAAAATAACATACCACCAACACACACACCAAAAAACACCAAAAACAACCCCCAAAAATAAAAAAAAACACAAATCCAAAACACACACAAAAAAAAAAACAAACAATATATATACCACACACACAACAAAAATAAAAACATATACACACACACACAAAATATATATATATACAACAAAACACCAACCCACCAATCCCATAATTATACACAACAACACACACAAAACACATAAATATTTTCACACAAACACCACAAATAAAATTCATATACAACAAAAATATATATATATACACAAAGGAGCCTCTCTATATACACTGCTGCCTCACTGTATACACTGCTCCTCTCCTGCCCCCTACAAGAGGACCTGTCACTCAAATGCTATCACATAGGGGACTATTGGTCCCCTATGTGATAGCAATAAAATAAAAAAGTTAAAAAAAATTAAATATTATACATGAAAGTAGAAAAAAAAAACCCCAAAAACTGGAGCCTCCCCACCCCACATACGCAGACATTTTGGTTTCGGTTCAGTTTTTAGCCAACATGCATTCTGAATTTTTGGTATCAGTTTCGGCACCAGAATTTTTATTTCGGTGCACCCTGCAAATTAGGGGAACTCCTCGGGGACCCCCAGGTCACCAGAACTTGTGTGCCCCATTGGAAAACGTCCTCTTTCTTTTCTGGGGATAACCCAAAATTTGGGGTTTTCTTTTACCTTCACTTTCGATAATGGTAAACAGGACAAACAGGGAGGGGGAATTTCCCTAATGGAGACACAGACAGCAATAAAAACCCAAAAGGTGTTCTGATCCATCTCCACTATGTCCAAACGGCCATTAATGGCGGTGTGTTGAGTTATTTTGAGGGGACAGCAAATTTACATGTTATACAAGCTGTACACTGACTACGTCACATTGTAGCAAAGTGTCATTTCTTCAGTGTTGTCACATGGAAAGAGAATCAAATATTTACACAAATTTGAGGGGGGACTCACTTCTGGGAGATACTGTGTGTGTTTAATATATATATATATATATATATAGATATATTTCACCTATTTACACACACACATTGTAGACAGCCCGGGGGAGGGGTTGGGACTGTAAATGTGAATGCAGTTGGTACATTTTCTCATTGAGAAGATAAGTACATAATGATGGTACACTCTGCCGTTTCCCTTGTTTTTATAGCAAAAGAGTGCTCCTCTCTTTAGGCCAGTTGCACACGGGACAGTTTATTTATTTCAGGTACTTATATAGCGCCGTTCATTTACGCAGCGCTTTTACATATATATTGTACAGTCACATCAGTCCCCGCCCCGAGGAGCGTACAATCTAAGGTCCCTAAACTCACATTCACACATACTAGGGACAATTTAGACAGGAGCCAATTCACCTACAGCATGTCTTTGGAGTGTGGAAGGAAATCGGAGTACCCGATCCGAGGAAACCCACGCAGGCACAGGGAGATACATGCAAACTCCAGGCAGGAGGAGCCATGGCTGGGATTCGAACCAAAACGACCCGTTTGTACCGCCAGGCGGAAGCGCTAACCATTTAGCCTCTGTGTGTTTAGCTGCCGTGCTTCCCTCCTAGATTTTTAGCACGTCAGGTGCAGCGTCCAATGCTGCTTGCAGCCTGACAAAATCAATGGCAGGCTGTGGCTGAATGCTGTACTGAGTGGTACTCGCGTAAAGGCTCCTGTGGTTTAGCCACTTGCCGCCAAATCACATACATGCGCAAATGATGCAAGTGATTTTACCTGGGGGTGGTTTGGCTGCAGCTGTCAGCCATAACCCCGGTATTTTTTTTTTTTTTTTTTTAGAGCCAGTGAAGTCTACAAAGCAAAAAGCAATCCTAGCAGATAATTAGCCTTTTGGATTGCCTTTACAGGTGGCGGAAGGGGGTTGACCCTTTCAATGCCTCTCCAAGCTTCCCTGTCCGGGGGGGGGGGGGGGGCTGGCATTTGATCTGGCTGTTTCCCTGGCTTGCAATAGAGGTGACCGGCTCAACCTATATCAGGGGTGGCAAACTCCATTTCATGGCAGGCCATATCAGCATTATGGTTGCCCTAAAAGGGCCGGTTGTATCTGTAAGACTGGATGTCCAGATTACCCCATCCCCATTACATCAGATGTCAAGAATCCCACACCTCCCTAACATCACCTTGCACCCCCTTTGGAGACCGAGCTGAAAAGCAGAAAGTGCGGGGTGAGGAGGAGGACCAGAGGAGGAGTAGAGTCACTTACAAGAGCCTGCTGAATGCTGAGACCAGGGGAAGCAGAGATGAGGGGATGCTACAGCTACACTGAGAGGTGCAAGATTTGGCAGAGGAGACAAGGTGGGGGGCAGAGACAAAGGGTTTACCTGCAGGAGAGGTGCAAGGGCCACATGAAATGGCCTGGAGGGACGGATTCGGCCCGCGGGCCTCGTATTTGACACCTGTGACCTATATGGTTTAGGAGACCAGAAGCAATGAGCATTTTCGTCACGTCCGGTTTGCCCGGATGTAAACAGCGCCATTTTTAAACAGTGAAAGCATCTGAGGACTCCGTTCCCAGATCTCGCAACAAAGAGTACCTGTCACTTGCCTATTGCTGTCACCAGGGATGTTTACATTCCTTGCGACAGCAACAAAAGTGATCAAACAAGTAAAAAAATAAAATAAATGCATTTTAAACATATTTTAAAGCTATCCTCTGTAACATTTTATACACATCTATACTATTCTCTGTAACATTTTATACATCTATACTATTCTCTGTAACATTTTATACATCTATACTATTCTCTGTAACATTTTATATATCTACAGTCAGGTCCATAAATATTGGGACATCGACACAATTCGAACATTTTTGGCTCTATACACCACCACAATGGATTTGAAATAAAAACGAACAAGATGTGTGCTTTAACTGCAGACTGTCGGCTTTAATTTGAGGGTATTTACATCCAAATCAGGTGAACGGTGTAGGAATTACAACAGTTTTCATATGTGCCTCCCACTTGTTAGGGGGCCAAAAGTAATGGGACAATTGGCTTCTCAGCTGTTCCATGGCCAGGTGTATGTTATTCCTTCATTATCCCAATTACAATGAGCAGATAAAAGGTCCAGAGTTCATTTCAAGTGTGCTATTTGCATTTGGAATCTGTTGCTGTCAACTCTCAAGATGAGATCCAAAGAGCTGTCAATATCAGTGAAGCAAGCCATCATTAGGCTGAAAAAAACAAAACAAACCCATCAGAGAGATAGAAAAAACATTAGGCGTGGCCAAAACAACTGTTTGGAACATTCTTAAAAAGAAGGAACGCACCGGTGAGCTCAGCAACACCAAAAGAATCAGAGACCACGGAAAACAACTGTGGTGGATGACTGAAGAATTCTTTCCCTGGTGAAGAAAACACCCTTCACAACAGTTGGCCAGATCAAGAACACTCTCCAGGAGGTAAGTGTATGTGTGTCAAAGTCACCAATCAAGAGAAGACTTCACCAGAGTGAATACAGAGGGTTCACCACAAGATGTAAACCATTGGTGAGCCTCAAAAACAGGAAGGCCAGATTAGAGTTTGCCGAACGACATCTAAAAAGCCTTCACAGTTCTGGAACAACATCCTATGGACAGATGAGACCGACATCAACTTGTACCAGAGTGATGGGAAGAGAAGAGTATGGAGAAGGAAAGGAACTGCTCATGATCCTCAGCATACCACCTCATCAGTGAAGCATGGTGGTGGTAGTGTCATGGCGTGGGCATCTATGGCTGCCAATGGAACTGCTTCTCTTGTATTTATTGATGATGTGACTGCTGACAAAAGCAGCCGGATGAATTCTGAAGTGTTTCGGGAATATTATCTGCTCATACTCAGCCAAATGCTTCAGAACTCATTGGACGCTTCACAGTGCAGATGGACAATGACCCAAAGCAGACTGCAAAAGCAACCAAAGAGTTTTTTAAGGGAAAGAAGTAGAATGCTATGCAATGGCCAAGTCAATCACCTGACCTGAATCCGATTGAGCATTTCACTTGCTGAAGACAAAACTGAAGGGAAAATGCCCCAAGAACAAGCAGGAACTGAAGACAGTTGCAGTAGAGGCCTGGCAGAGCATCACCAGGGATGAGACCCAGTGTCTGGTGATGTCTATGCGTTCCAGACTTCAGGCTGTAATTGACTGCAAAGGATTTGCAACCAAGTATTAAAAAGTGAAAGTTTGATTTATGATTATTATTCTGTCCCATTACTTTTGGTTCCTTAACAAGTGGGAGGCACATATGCAAACTGTTGTAATTCCTACACTGTTCACCTGATTTGGAGGTAAATACCCTGAAATTAAAGCTGACAATCTGCAGTTAAAGCACATCTTGTTCGTTTTTATTTCAAATCCATTGTGGTGGTGTATAGAGCCAAAAATGTTAGAATTGTGTCGATGTCCCAATATTTATGGACCTGACTGTATACTATTCTCTGTAACATTTTATACATCTATACTATTCTCTGTAACATTTTATATATTATCTATACTATTCTCTGTAACATTTTATACATCTATACTATTCTCTGTAACATTTTATACATCTATACTATTCTCTGTAACATTTTATACATCTATATACTATCATCTGTAACATTTTATACATCTATACTATCATCTGTAACATTTTATACATCTATACTATTCTCTGTAACATTTTATACATCTATACTATTCTCTGTAACATTTTATACATCTATACTATCATCTGTAACATTTTATACATCTATACTATTCTCTGTAACATTTTATACATCTATACTATTCTCTGTAACATTTTATACATCTATACTATCATCTGTAACATTTTATACATCTATACTATTCTCTGTAACATTTTATACATCTATACTATAATCTGTAACATTTTATACATCTATACTATTCTCTGTAACATTTTATACATCTATACTATAATCTGTAACATTTTATACATCTATACTATTCTCTGTAACATTTTATACATCTATACTATTCTCTGTAACATTTTATACATCTATACTATTCTCTGTAACATTTTATACATCTATACTATTCTCTGTAACATTTTATACATCTATACTATTCTCTGTAACATTTTATATATTTATACTATTCTCTGTAACATTTTATACATCTATACTATTCTCTGTAACATTTTATACATCTATACTATTATCTGTAACATTTTATACATCTATACTATTATCTGTAACATTTTATACATCTATACTATTATCTGTAACATTTTATACATCTATACTATTATCTGTAACATTTTATACATCTATACTATTCTCTGTAACATTTTATATATCTATACTATTATCTGTAACATTTTATACATCTATACTATTCTCTGTAACATCACAGACTGAAGATAAATCTGATGGCCTCGTGACTTTTCTCAGCCTATGTAACAATTCATCTTTCATGTTTAGTATAGGAATGTAAACATCCGTTGAGATCTCAGTGTTCTTGGTGGCATTACCATGATGATCCGCTGTGCCAGGCGCGTCCTGGCGAAGAAATAGATGAGGCGGAGCCTTTTGGGCAGGCGCAAGTTTCGGAATGGCTGCAGGGTGATGGTGTGAGGGGTGTTGGGTCTCAAAGCTTGCTGGCGCTCATGTCGGGCGCGGGTCACCGGCTTGGCTGGCGGCATGCAGGCCTCTGCTGGCATCCTCTTGTTCAAATCTGCGAGCTGAAAGAAATTTCGGACATAACAGAGGAAACTTGTCCATTACAGCCCACCTGGAACTGGACCCCCCTTCTTTTTTTTTTTTTTTAAAAAAAATAAGTCAGCAAGTCTTTAAAATCATAAAAACGAGGAGTAAAACACTGTAGTGGCTTTATACTCTTAGGTTAGGTTCACATCTGTGCAGTGGTGCCACTGCGGATCTGCACGAAGCCGCACCACCCGCACAGAGGAATGTGGACCCATAGGTGGGTGCCATTAGTTCTAAAGGCCCGCTGCCCGCACTGGAGAACGCAACCGTACTGGGAACCAAGGTACCCGCGCGGGCTGCGTTTTCAGAAGAAGTGCGGGGACTTCTTCCCTGCGTGTCACGGGAGTCCATTCAAACGAATGGGCTCTCATGCCCGCGCAAAACGCGGCCCTCACGGCCGCATAGATGTGAACCAGGGCTAAAGGCCAGTTCACACTACGCTCGTTTCAGTTGCTTTTTTTCTGCATCCAAAACGCACAGAAAGTCGGTGATATGGTTGTCAGTGTCATAGTTCACATCAGCGCTTGCAGTTCCAGTGCGTTCCGGGTGCAGAAAAAAAAGTAGAACAGGCTGCATTTTTCCTGCACAGAACTGCACTGAAATGCGGTCAACCACATAAAAAAACGCACCAAAAATGCACTGGAATGCACGTTTCCATTTAAATTGAAGAAAGAGGAAAAATGAACCCAGAAAGCATAAAAAAAAAACCGCACTGGAACGTGCCAAAAACACGTCAAAAACGTGCATGCGGAAACAGATCCGGAACGCATGTGGACTGCGTTTCTATGGTGTGAACCGGCCCTTAGGGCTAGTTTACATTAGATGCAGTACAGTGCGTTTTTTTTTCTGCATCAAAAATGCAATCACAGTGCTTTCCATGTATTCCAATGGCCCAGGTTCACACCAGCGCAGTCAGTTTCCAGTGCAGAAAAAAAAAAGTAGAACATGCTGCATTTTTTTTCCTGCATGGAACCGCACTGGAACATAGCAAACTGCATCAAAACTGCACCGGAACGCAATGTGGTGTGAACTGTAAACAAAAATGTGTCTGGAATGCATCCGGAGTGTGTTTTTGTCACACAAGGGCCCTAAGGGCCAGTTCATACTACATGTGTTTCCGTTGCTATTTTTCTGCATCCAAAATGATGATGATATGGTTGTCAATGTCATAGTTCACATCAGTGCTTGCAGTTCTAGTGCGTTATGGTTGCAGAAAAAAAAAAAAAAATTAGAGCAGGCTGCATTTATTTCTGCACAGAACTGTACTGTAATGCGGTAAAACGCATCAAAAACGCATCAGAACGCACATGTCCCTATTTAAATTGAAGAAAAAAGGGGAAATAAAATGAACTGGAACGCATCAAAAACGCACTGAGAACGCACCTGAACTGCATTTCTATAGTGTGAACTGGCCCATAGGGCAGATTGTGCCCAGGGACGAATGCACAGAACATATACTGCTTGTTATGTTAAGAGAGGGGGAAAAAAAAAAAAAAAAAAAGAAGAGGGGGGGGGGGGAAAAGAAGGGGGGAAAAAAAAGAGGGAAAAAGAAAAAAGGAGGGAAAAAGGAGGGAAAAAGAAAAAGGAGGGAAAAAGAAAAAGGAGGGAAAAAGAAAAAGGAGGGAAAAAGAAAAAGAGGGAAAAAGGAGGGAAAAAGAAAAAAGAGGGAAAAAGGAGGGAAAAAGAAAAAAGAGGGAAAAAGGAGGGAAAAAGAAAAAGAGGGAAAAAGAAAAAGAGGGAAAAAGAAAAAGAGGGAAAAAGAAAAAGAGGGAAAAAGAAAAAGAGGGAAAAAAAGAGGGGAAAATAAAAAGGAGGGAAAAAGGAGGGAAAAAGAAAAAGAGGGAAAAAGGAGGGAAAAAGAAAAAGGAGGGAAAAAGGAGGGAAAAAGAAAAAGGAGGGAAAAAGAAAAAGGAGGGAAAAAGGAGGGAAAAAGAAAAAAGGAGGGAAAAAAGGAGGGAAAAAGAAAAAGAGGGAAAAGGAAAAAGGAGGGAAAAAAAAGAAAAAAGAAAAAAAGAAGGAAAAAAAAGAAAAAAGAAAAAGGAGGGGAAAAAAAAAAAAAAAGAAAAAAAGGAGGGAAAAAAAAAAGAAAAAGAAAGGAGGGGAAAAAAGGAGGGAAAATAAGAAGAAAAAAAAGGAGAGAAAAAAAAAAAAAGAGGAAAAAAAAAAAAAAAAAGAGGATAAAAAAAGAGGATAAAAAAGAGGAAAAAAAAGAAAAAGAGGGAAAAAAAGAAGAGGGAAAAAAGGAGGGGGGAAAAAAAGGGGGGGGGGAAGAGGTGGAAAAAAAGAGGGGGGAAAATAGGGGGGGGGGGGAAAGGGGGAAAAAGAAGGGAAAAAAGAGGGTAAAAAATGCATCAGAACGCTCCAAACACGTGCATCTGGAATGCATCTGGACTGCGTTTCTATGGTGTGAACCAAAGTGATTCTACCTGCTGAAGGTTCAGGCATTCTATGCATGAAGTTAAAAAAAAACCCCTTCAGTATGCAGCTGCCCTAATACTCAGCCAAGCCCAATCGTGATCCAGCGCTGCACACGAGAGCAGCTGCTGACCCGGGTCTCTTGCTCCTCATTGGCTCAGATAAAGCAGTGGGAGCCATTGGCTGCTGCTGTCAATCAGAGCCAGTGAGGAGGGAGCAGGGGGAACACAGAGCGGGGCTCAGGAGCGAGCATGCACGAGTGCCCCCAGAGCAAGCGGCTTGCTCTGGAAGCTCTCAGCAGGAGGGAGGAGTCAGGAGAGATGGTGAGCGACCCGAGAAGTGGAGTATCGGGGCTGCTCTGTGCAACACCATCGCACAGAGCAGGTAAGTATATCATGTTTGTTGTTTTTTTTTCTTTTCTCTTTTTTGTTTCTTTTCACTTTTAATATCACTTTCAAGCGATACGACCTGCAACTAACATCAGTAAAATAACAGCTCGACCCTATAAATAGACCCCAAAGGGCATCCTGGGTACAGGCTGGATCTCCCAGTGGCTGAGCTCTTACCTCCATTCTGCGGATGTCGATGGAAAGGACGGTGGTGAAAAAGAACATCTGCAGGAAGAAGTCTGACACGAGCCCAACGACTGCAAATAGACAGAATTCCTGACAGAGAGAAAACACAGAGAACAGAGTAAGGAAAAGGATAACGACAGCGCCAAACAAAAGGTTTAGGCCGGGTTCAAACTGATGTGTGCGGATCAGGGGCGGACTGACCATTTGAGCACTTGGGCACTGCCTGAGGGCCCGAGGTCAGTAGGGGGCCTCATGAGATGCCCCTGGTACCTTTTATAGGTGTTTTTCGGTGTGCTTTGAGTGTGGGCAAGGACACAGGGGCCCCATGAGCCCCTATTGCCTGGGGGCCCCATGGATTGTCAGTCCTCCCCTGGTGCGGAATTCCACACCGCATCACAATCGCCCCCCGTTCATGCGAACCGCGGCGGGTGTGTATGTTAACGACACCCCGAAATCGGTCCGCAAAACGCGGTGCGATGTGCAGAATCGTATGGCATAGGTGTGAATCCCCAATGCGATTCGATTCTAGTGCGGACCAAAAAAAGGGTCCTGCGCCTTTTTGGTGCGGATGCGATCTGAGCCATACAAAATGTACGATCATACCGCACAGAATTCGGATGTGATTTGCACATGGATGCGGTGCGGTTCCTGTGCGAATCGCATGCGATGTTCCGCACAAGTGTGAACCGGGCTTGAGGCTCAAAAGCCGTATTGAACCCAAAAGCAAACAGTTATTATATTGCAGCTTACATATTCGGAGATGTGACGGCTGCATTCGTTTTTTTTTTTTTTTTAGGCTTTCTTTCCTTTATTTTCACCTGGTGATCCTGCCCGTAAGTCTGTTTTTCAAAAGAACAAGCTCTCTTGCAAATGTATCAGTTAGAGGGATGAGAAAACCATTTCCGTGATGCTGGGTTTTATTGATGGAAAACCTTTATCCCAAAAGAAAACAAAAACTCTGAAGCCGATTATAAGATGGAGTTTGGCTTCAATTTGTTAGTGTATCTAAATCTGCTAGCGCGTCTAATGCTCGCCTCCGCCCAGACTGACAATCAGATTACAGAACGAACGACGTTTTCGATCGAAAAATCGTTCGGAATTTGACCCATGTATGGCCTGCTTTAGGCTTTCCCCCCCCTCTGTTTTCACCTGGTGATCTGGCCAGTAATACACCACCTGTATTAGAGCGCCCCCACTCTGGCACAAGGGGTACCATTGGACAGCAACATTGGCAGTCTGGGGAGAAGGCAGTGTATTAGCAGATTTAGATACACTAACAATGTAATATATTGCAGCTTACCAATCATTAGATGTGGTGGCCGCGTTAGTTTTCCTTTTTTAGGCCTATTTTCCGTATGTTTTCACCTGGTGATCTGGCCTCCTGTAGTAGAGCTCCCCCACTTTGGATGAAAGCGCACAGGGGGCACCTTCGGTCAGCAGCACTGTCAGTCTGGGCGGAGGGGAGTGTTAGTGTATCTAAATCTGCTAGCACAGCTAACACTCCCCTCCGCCCAGACTGACAATACTGCTGTTTACATACACTATATTGCCCGCAGTATTGGTTGGCCGGCCTTCCCACACACATGACCTTTAATGGCCTCCCAGTCTTAGTCCGTAGGGTTCAATATTGAGTTGGCCCCGCCCTTCCCACACACATGACCTTTAATGTCCTCCCAGTCTTAGTCCGTAGGGTTCAATATTGAGTTGGCCCCGCCCTTCCCACACACATGACCTTTAATGGCCTCCCAGTCTTAGTCCGTAGGGTTAAATATTGAGTTGGCCCCACCCTTCCCACACACATGACTTTAATGGCCTCCCAGTCTTAGTCCGTAGGGTTCAATATTGAGTTGGCCCCGCCCTTCCCACACACATGACCTTTAATGGCCCCCCAGTCTTAGTCCGTAGGGTTCAATATTGAGTTGGCCCCGCCCTTCCCACGCACATGACCTTTAATGGCCCCCCAGTCTTAGTCCGTAGGGTTCAATATTGAGTTGGCCCCGCCCTTTGCAGCTATAACAGCTTCAACTCTTCTGGGAAGGCCGTCCACAAGGTTTAGGAGGGTGTCTATGGGAAGGTTGGACCATTCTTCCAGAAGCACATTTGTCAGGTCAGGCACTGATGTCGGGGGAGGAGGCCTGGCTCGCAGTCTCCGCTCTAATTCATCCCAAAGGTGTTCTATGGGGTTGAGGTCAGGACTCTGTGCAGGACAGTCAAGTTCCTCCACCCCAAACTGGCTCCTCCATGTCTTTATGGACCTTGCTTTGTGCACTGGTGCGCAGTCATGTTGGAACAGGAAGGGGCCATCCCCAAACTCTTCCCACAAAGTTGGGAGCATGAAATTGTCCAAAATGTCGCCTTAAGTGTTCCCTCCACTGGAACTAGGGGGCCAAGCCCAACCCCTGGAAACAACCCTGCACCATAATCCCCCCCTCCACCAAACTTTACACTTGGCACAATGCAGTCAGGCAAGTACCGTTCTCCTGGCAACTGCCAAACCCAGACATGTCCATCGGATTGCCAAACAGAGAAGCGTGATTGGTCACTCCAGAGAACACGCCTCCACTAATCTAGAGTCCAGTGGCGGCGTGCTTTACACCACGGCATCCGACGCTTTGCATTGCACTTGGTGATGTAAGGCTTGGATGCAGCTGCTCAGCCATGGAAACCCATTCCATGAAGCTCTCTACACACTGTTGTTGGGCTCATCTGAAGGCCACACCAAGTTTGGAGGTCTTTAGCTATTGACTCTGCAGACAGTTGGCGACTTCTGCGCACTGTGCGCTTCAGCATGCGCTGACCCCGCCCTGTCATGTGACGTGGCCTACCACTTAGTGGCTGAGTGGCTGTTGTTCCCAGTTGCTTCCACTTTGTCCCACTAACAGTTGAGCGTGGAATATTTAGTAGCCAGGAAATGTCCCGGATGGACTTATTGCACAGGTGGCCACCTATCACAGGACCACGCTTGGAGTCACTGAGCTCCTGAGAGCGACCCATTCTTTCACCAATGTTTGTAGAAGCCGTCTGCATGCCTAGGGGCTTGATTGTATACACCTGTGTCCATGGAGGGGATTGGAACACCTGAATCACGTGATATGGAGGGGATTGGAACACCTGAATCACATGATTGGGAGGGGATTGGAACACCTGAATCACATGATTTGGAAGGCGGGGCCAATACTTCTAGCAATGTAGTGCATGTGTGCAGAACCGATGCATGCGGTCCCCTTTGCACATTAGGGAACGGGGCCTTTACATTCTTTCTTTTATTTCTCTCTCTTTTGCAGCTGCAGGCATCGTCCCGGTATATCCACCCAAAGTCCAGTATCATACGGGTACGTCGCTGATCGTCAAGTGGATAATTTGCAATTGTATCAGAGTTACAGGTCATTCCGAAATGTGTTGGCTTTACAGCGCTACGGCATATGCTGGTGCTATATAGTAGCTCCATTTTAAACAATGATGGCCACAGTGGGGGATTCTGGGTACAATCCGTCCTTGGGTCAGTAGGAAGTGCTGAGCTGTGCCATTGAGTACAAAGTAGCGATCTCCGACCTTCAGTGTCTAATCTGATAAAAGATCACATCCTGCAGAGAAGGTGAGCCGGGAATTCCCCCGAGGAGGGACAGCGCCTGTTATCTGTACTGTATAGTCATTTATGAAGGACGGCGTTCAGAGGTCACATAACTCTCCGCACACGGAACACACGGAACACGTCACCCTGCACTGCACAATACAGAAAACATACGTCTTTGTACCTTCCCTCCAGTCCTGCACAGTGGTACCGGCCCCTCTCCTGGATTGGAATGGCTTCCTCTGATTTCACTGCACACTGTGAGCTTCTCACAATGTGCATTAGAAGCTGCAGCAAGTCAGACAGAGCTCCGCCTCACTTTCTGGCTGGAGGACGCCCAGCATTATCTAGGGCTTTCCTCCCCAGCCTGACTGTCCCTGGCCCGTCCCTTTCATTCAGCCTTACTGTCCCTGGCCTTCCCCTTTCATTCGGCCTGAATGTACCTGGCCTTCCCCTTTCAATCAGCCTGATTGTCTTTGGCCCACCCCTTTCATTCAGCCTGACTGTCCCTGACCTGCCCCTATCATTCAGCCTGACTGTTCCTGGCCCGCCCCTTTCATTCAGCCTGACTGTCCCTGGCCCGTCCCTTTCATTCAGCCCTTCCTTGACCCACCTCTTTCATTCAGCCTGACTGTCCCTGGCCCGTCCCTTTCATTCAGCCCTTCCTTGACCCACCTCTTTCATTCAGCCTGACTGTCCCTGGCCCACCCCTTTCATTCAGCCTGTCCTTGGCCCACCCCTTTCATTCAGCCTGTCCTTGGCTCACCCCTTTCATTCAGCCTGTCCTTGGCCCACCCCTTTCATTCAGCCTGTCCTTGGCCCACCCCTTTCATTCAGCCCGTCCTTGACCCACCTCTTTCATTCAGCCTGACTGTCCCTGGCCCACCCCTTTCATTCAGCCTGTCCTTGGCTCACCCCTTTCATTCAGCCTGTCCTTGGCCCACCCCTTTCATTCAGCCTGTCCTTGGCCCACCCCTTTCATTCAGCCTGTCCTTGGCCCACCCCTTTCATTCAGCCTGTCCTTGGCCCACCCCTTTCATTCAGCCTGACTGTCCTTGGCCCATCCCTTTCATTCAGCCTGACTGTCCTTGGCCCACCCCTTTCATTCAGCCTGACTGTCCTTGGCCCACCCCTTTCATTCAGCCTGACTGTCCTTGGCCCACCCCTTTCATTCAGCCTGACTGTCCTTGGCCCACCCCCTTTCATTCAGCCTGACTGTCATTGGCCCACCCCTTTCATTCAGCCTGACTGTCCTTGGCCCACCCCTTTCATTCAGCCTGACTGTCCTTGGCCCACCTCTTTCATTCAGCCTGACTGTCCCTGGCCCGTCCCTTTCATTCAGCCTGACTGTCCTTGGCCCACCCCCTTTCATTCAGCCTGACTGTCATTGGCCCACCCCTTTCATTCAGCCTGACTGTCCTTGGCCCACCCCTTTCATTCAGCCTGACTGTCCTTGGCCCACCTCTTTCATTCAGCCTGACTGTCCCCTGGCCCGTCCCTTTCATTCTGCCTGACTGTCCCTGGCCTGCCCCTTTCATTCAGCCTGACTGTCCCTGGCGCGCCCCTTTCATTCATTGGATTTAAGTTCTTTCAATCATGGAGGTTTGGCATCACACACACGTGGGCATTACCTATGCAAATGAAGCCTGCCTAGGAACGTCCACTCCTCCAGACTGAAATCCATCCACCAAGTTATTTCGATTTTTGCATAACTCCTCCCTAGTCCCACCCCACATATGGGCGTTACCCAGGCAAATGCATGCCTGCCTATTAACGCCCACTCCTCCAAACTAACACACCCACCCACCAAGTTATTTCAATTGTTGCATGACTCCTCCAGAGAGCCAGCCCACTGCTTACATCAGGACTGAAGGCTTCTGAGAGGAGTACAGAGGCGGGGTGCTGTGATTTTTTTTTTCAGGAAGTTCTGTACAGCACCCTGCTGGCCCCTCCCACCAGCCACGATCTGCCTGAACTCCATAGAGAACTTGAGGGTTGAGTTGTCAGTAGAAAAAGTGTTCTCCTCTGTTCCTCTTTTGACAACAGCTGTGACACCTTGGACCTGGGGATCAGGGTAGAGGTCCTACCCCCTCGGGGGGTGAACTAAAGCACACCCCTTTTTTGTGTTTTGCACATTTTTTGTTTTTTCGCACCTCCACAGATTTAAAAAAAAAAAAAAACAAAAAAAAAAAAACCCTGTGATACCTTGGATTTCCCCCAATTTACTTTCTACAATTACTGTGGCGAAGTTGTCCCAGTGACATGACAGGAAGACAGAACTATGATTGGCCCAGCAATGAACACTGAAATATGACGGGCTGACATGGTTAGTAATCCCTCGCCCCAATACCGCCCTATCAAATATTTATGACGGAGAAGAGAGTTTCATTTACCTGAATGGCAGGAACCAAAGTGAAATAACCAATCAGGATGATTCCCAGCTCGGTGGCCATGTTCTTCATGATAGACCAGCTTTCGTTGCTCAATCCTGCGCACAACAGAGGGAGACGGGTGAAAATCAAGACATGAATCCAACAAAAAGGAGCTCACCCTAAAGTCTTTCACCATTCCCGTGACCCGCTATGTATGTTGGGTGATGGAGGAATCGAGCTGCAGGTTTGCTTCATGGGGATGGCTCTGAATTCCTAAAACGCACACAGCGAAGCTTGCCTTACGCTCAAGTTCAGCATCTTCAAAACGGAGCTCCGCCCAAAAGGGAAAGTTCTGCTTTAAGGACTGCTCCCCATTAAGGATTGGCACCTTTTGGGGGGGGTACCTGAATTTGACAGGTACCCCTCCCACTTCCGATCCGATCGTCTAGGCCGGGTGTCGGCAACCCGTGGCTCCAGAGCCGCATGCGGCTCTTTTTCACCTTTGCTGCGGCTCCGGAGCACACTGTCCACCAGGTGACAGGCAATAGGGTTTGCCGTAGCTCAGTGGTCGGCAAGCCGCGGCTATTTACACATTTTAATGCGGCTCTTCTGTGTGCCGGGCGCCAGCTCCCCTCCCTCCTCTCGGGTGGCCGCCCCAAAAGTCAGGACATTGGCTGTCAGGATGTAGGCGGGGCAGCGTGACGAACTCCTCTCCTCTCACAGTCCGCCCTGAAGACCGGAACGGCGCGGGAACACGGCGAGAGGAACGCGCGGAGCAAAAGGTAAGTGAATTGACACAATATGGGGGATGAATTACTATAGGGGGATGAATTACTATGGGGGATGAATTACTATGGGGGATGAATTACTATATGGGGATGAATTACTATGTGGGGGATGAATTACTATGTGGGGGATGAATTACTATGTGGGGGACGAATTACTATGTGGGGGACGAATTACTATGTGGGGGACGAATTACTATGTGGGGGATGAATTACTATGGGGGATGAATTACTATGTGGGGGATGAATTACTATGTGGGGGATGAATTACTATATGGGGGATGAATTACTATATGGGGGATGAATTACTATATGGGGGATGAATTACTATATGGAGGATGAATTACTATATGGGGGAATGAATTACTACAGGGGGGATGAATTACTATATGGGGGATGAATTACTATATGGGGAATGAATTACTATAGGGGGGATGAATTACTATGGGGGATGAATTACTATATGGGGATGAATTACTATGGGGGATGAATTACTATATGGGGGATGAATTACTATATGGGGGATGAATTACTATATGGGGGATGAATTACTATATGGGGGTGATGAATTACTATATGGGGGATGAATTACTATGGGGGATGAATTACTATATGGGGGATGAATTACTATATGGGGGATGTATTTTCAGTTTTAAAAATGTGGCTCTCAAAATAAATTTCAATCGTGGTTTTGGCGAGATTTGGCTCAGTTGAAAAAAGAGGTTGCCCACCACTGGCCTAAGGCTATGATTGTGATTATGACGATACACTGTGGCCCTGATTAACCCTCTGCTTACACGGCCCTTAAACCCCCTTCATGACCAGAGCGCTTTTTGCAATATATGCAGTGTCGGATTTGTTTTAAATGTTGCAATGGTTTTGCAGCTCCCAGTCTTTTTTTCCCTCTCGGAAACGGGTCCCAAGTGGCTCTTTATGTCTTAAAGGTTGCAGACCCCTGGTCTAGGCGATCAGAAAACTGAAGGTGTCCTCCCCCCCCCCGAAGTCTTTTGGGACACGTGACAGATCCCAGAAGACTACAGGACCATTCACGAAGCGCAGCGCTACTCATGCATGCGCAGTGGGCACCCAGCTGTGAAGCCACAAGCTGAAGATGCCGGCCTCCTGGAATACAGGACGGCCGGTGAAATGGGCTGCGGGGGACACACCGCGGGACCGAAGGACAGGTAAGTGGTTGTTTTTTTTTAAAAGTCAGCAGCTACAGTTTTTGTAGCTGCTTTTATTTTTTGACAGGTGAGTGGAACTCCACTTTAAGTCTAGGTTCACACCTATGCAGGTTGCGTTTGAGTCGTTTTTTCTTCTTCTGCGTTGCGCTTTTTTTTTTTTCTTGTTGCTAGGCAGATTTAACCACTTCAATACCGGGCACTTATACCCCCCCCCCCCCCCCATTCCTGCCCAGGCCAATTTTCAGTGCTGTCACACTTTGAACAACAGTTGCGCGGTCATGCAACACTGTACATCCTAGATTGTAAGCTCCCAGGATCAGGGCCCTCCTATCCCTCTTGTATTGAACTGTATTGTTGCTGTATTGTCTCCCATTATATTGTAAAGTGCTGAGCAAACTGTTGGCACTATAAATCCTGTATAATAATAATAATAATATATAAATCCGGTTATAATAATAATAATATAAATCCGGTATAATAATAATATAAATCCTGTATAATAATAATAATATAAATCCGGTATAATAATAATAATATAAATCCTGTATAATAATAATAATATAAATCCGGTATAATAATAATATAAATCCGGTATAATAATAATATAAATCCTGTATAATAATAATAATATATAAATCCTGTATAATAATAATAATATAAATCCTGTATAATAATAATATAAATCCTGTATAATAATAATATAAATCCTGTATAATAATAATAATATAAATCCTGTATAATAATAATATAAATCCTGTATAATAATAATATAAATCCTGTATAATAAATAATAATATATAAATCCTGTATAATAATAATATAAATCCTGTATAATAATAATAATATAAATCCTGTATAATAATATAAATCCTGTATAATAATATAAATCCTGTATAATAATAATAATTATAAATCCTGTATAATAATATAAATCCTGTATAATAAGAATTTTTTATCATTTTTTTTCCACGCAAATAGAGCTTTCTTTTGGTGGTATTTAATCACCACCGAGTGTTTTTTTTTTTTTTGATAAATAAAACAAAAAAACCCTGAAACTTTTATAAAAAAAAAAAAAAAAAAAAGAAAGCTCTTTACTTTGTTTCTGTTATAAAATTTTGCAAATAAATAACATTTCTTCATAAATTTTGGTCAAAATGTATTCTGCTACATTTCTTTGGTGAAAATAATAATAATTGAATCTGTATTTTATTTTTCAAATGTTTCTATCGGTTTTTAATTTTTTAGTAAATTTTTTCACGATTTTATTTTTCAGCATGCTGTGACCAAAGCAATACAGTGTTACCATAGTAACAGTGAACTACTCTGGGCAATTGATCAGGATTTTGTTTTTTTTTTTTTACACATTATGATTGCTAATACTGATGTATTTCATTGATATTCGCAATCATTGTTACTGAATGAAACTGATTCAGTCTTTTGTTGTGATTAGCTGTGATTGGATAAAGCTGATCACATGATCCAGATGGGCTGTGATTGGCCCCTGTCTGTATCATGTGACTGTCTTGACCAGTCACAGCTAACAACATAATTGTTTACAATGAACAGTATGACAGGAAGCCATCCATTGTATACAATTGACATGTGATCTGCTGTGATTGGCACTGTCTGTATCATGTGACTGCCTTGACCAGTCACAGCTAACAACATAATTGTTTACAATGAATAGTATGACAGGAAGCCATCCGATGTATACAATTGACATGTCATCTGCTGTGATTGGCCCTGTCTGTATCATGTGACTGCCTTGACCAGTCACAGCTAACAACATAAATGTATACAATGAATGGCATGACAGGAAGCCATCCATTGTACACAATTGACGTGATCTGCTGTGATTGGTCACAGCGGTCACATGACACCGGCAATGGGCCGGTGTAGTGATATATGTCATCGGCTGTGTCCCGCGGACACAGCCGGTAACAGATCGCGCCGCCCCGCGGCCGCCTCGTTCTGACAGGACGTCATATGACACCCAGTCAAAACGGCGAGTGTCCAGCCCGGCCGTCAGTCTGCTATAGGCAGGGTGGGAACGTGTTAAAAACGTAAAAAGCAAAAACGCAATACATACTTTTCTGCAGCGTTTCCATTTGAAGTTTATAGAAACAAAAACGCAACTTTTTGCGGTCAACAAAGTCCCCGGTCCTTTCCAAAAAACGCACCGGGTGGAAACGCACAGGGGTGAACATGTCCCGTAGGAAATCGTGTTAAATGGATTGTACTGCGTTCTGCAAAATGCTGCGGAAAACGCTTAGGTGTGACGGTTTCTTGTATCAAGGCAGAGACCTACAGGGCCCTGGGTGCTTAGCCCCGGTGTTTCGGTGGGGGGGTGGAAGGCACAGGTGCACCGCGCAGCCTGTAAAACTGTATGAGAGGCTGAGAGCTGCTGTGACTGTGCACTGAGTTGCAGTTATGGACAGTCATCATTGGGTGCATATTGCCCTGAACATAAGCAGTCTGTGTTCCGGGCATTCGTCCCTGGGCACAATCTGCCCTAAGGGCCAGTTCACACTATAGAAGCGCAATCCAGATGGCGTTCCCAGTGCGTTTTGATGCGTTCCAGTTCATTTTTTCCCCCCTCTCTTTTTCTTCAATTTAAATAGGGACATGTGCATTTTTGATGCGTTTTACCACGTTCCAGTGCAGTTCTGTGCATAAAAAATGCATCCCGTTCTACTTTGTTTTCTGCAACCGGAATGCACTGGAACTGCAAGCACTGATGTGAACTATGACACTGAAATCTATATCACCTACTTTCTGTGCATTTTGGATGCAGAAAATAAAGCAACTGAAACGCATGGAGTGTGAACTGGCCCTAAAAGGAACTACCGCTTGCTGCACCATCCAGCTACAGAAGCTTACAGCCTCAAAGAGTTTTACAGGCTGCACCTTGCGCACCTGTGCCTTCCGCCTGCACCAAAACGCTGCCATCTTATGCACCGTGGTTAACCACCTCCCGTCCGGCCGTTGTATATAAAGGGCCAGACGGTGGCAGCGCAGGGTCGATTGGTTGTTTATAAAACGGCCTTCCCGCCCCCTGGGAGCGCACAGCACCACGATCCGGTGCCCGCTGTGTCCTCCGGACACAGTGGTACACCGATCGTCGGACGGGACTTCTAAGCGAGGTCCCGATCATGTGATCACTGATTGGCCAATCAGTGATCACATGCAGAGTAGTAAGCAAGATGTCACTTCTGACATCATTGCTTACTGCGTGTGAAATCTGTGAATGATCACAGAGGTCACATGGTACAGGGCTATTCACAACAGCCTTGTACCATGTGACAAGCTGTGACCAATCACAGCTCACACTGTATTTCTCAATGGCTGCAAGAATGCAGCCAGAGAAAAGGAGAAATGATTGCTTTTACAGCCTTTATGGGTGTAAAAGCAATAAGCGTAAAAAAAAAAAAAAAAAAAAGAAATCTTCATCACCCCCCACAAGTAATACAGTGTCACCATGGTGACACTGTACTGCTAGGGTGACAGTATGTAAAAAAAAAACAAAAAAAAAACAAAAACAAATAATATAAAAAAATAAAATAAGTAAAAAAAAATAAAAAGTTTAAAAATTATAATTTTTGGTTAAACTAATTTGGTTTTTTTTTTTTTTACTAAAAAGATAACGTAATAAACGTTGGCCAAGATTTATGATGAAATATTATTTATTTGCAAAATTTTATAAGAAAAACACTTTTTTCAACATTTTTGGACTTTTTCATTTATATAGAAAAAAATAAAAATCCCAGCGGTGAATAAATACCACCAAAATAAAGCTTTATCTGTCTCAAAACAATGCTAAAAAATTCATATGGGTACAGTGTTGCATGACAGCGCAATTGTCATTCAAAGTGTAATAGCACTGAAAGCTGAAAATTGGCCTGGGGGGGAAAAGGGGTGAAAGTGTCCGGACTGGAAGGGGGGGGGGGAAGGTGTCCGGACTGGAAGGGGGGGGAAGGTGTCCGGACTGGAAGGGGGGGGAAGGTGTCCGGACTGGAAGGGGGGGGAAGGTGTCCGGACTGGAAGGGGGGGGAAGGTGTCCGGACTGGAAGGGGGGGGGAAGGTGTCCGGACTGGAAGGGGGGGGGGGAAGGTGTCCGGACTGGAAGGGGGGGGAAGGTGTCCGGACTGGAAGGGGGGGGAAGGTGTCCGGACTGGAAGGGGGGGGAAGGTGTCCGGACTGGAAGGGGGGGAAGGTGTCCGGACTGGAAGGGGGGGAAGTGTCCGGACTGGAAGGGGGGAAAGTGTCCGGACTGGAAGGGGGGGAAGGTGTCCGGACTGGAAGGGGGGGGGAAGGTGTCCGGACTGGAAGGGGGGGAAGGTGTCCGGACTGGAAGGGGGGGAAGGTGTCCGGACTGGAAGGGGGGGAAGGTGTCCGGACTGGAAGGGGGGGAAGGTGTCCGGACTGGAAGGGGGGGAAGGTGTCCGGACTGGAAGGGGGGGAAGGTGTCCGGACTGGAAGGGGGGGAAGGTGTCCGGACTGGAAGGGGGGGAAGGTGTCCGGACTGGAAGGGGGGGAAGGTGTCCGGACTGGAAGGGGGGGAAGGTGTCCGGACTGGAAGGGGGGGAAGGTGTCCGGACTGGAAGGGGGGGAAGGTGTCCGGACTGGAAGGGGGGGAAGGTGTCCGGACTGGAAGTGGTTAAAGGCCCAGTGTGCATGCAGGATCAGCACCCACCACAAAGCAGCTAAGGTGCTGGGGTGGGGGAAGGGAAGGGGGGCGGTACAATCCAAATCCCCAACCACTTGCTGGGGATTCGGATTTTGAAAGCATCTGTCTTCCGTTGTAGTCATTGGTTGCTAGGACCGCCGGCGTACTAAGCAACCGATGGCATGCTTTGTAGGTGAGCACAACAAGGGGAAAACAGTGCTCTGTGCAGAGCTGCTCTGCCTACCGACTGCGCCCTCCCACTCCTGCCTGAGCAGGGCACAGCAATGCAGTAAAGTTGGGTACACGGGCCAAAAATCAGTTGAGAAGGGCCAACTTTCGGCCCTTCTGTACAGCTGCCTGTCTGACAAAAGCAGGTCTCACGATGGGCTTCTGTCAAATGAGCAACAATGGAAAACCAGCAAACATGTATGGCCAGCATAAGTAGAGGTGCAGGTACAAGGGAGTTTAGATGAAGGTTCCCAGTCAGGGGGTTTGAAGTGTTGGACTAAAGCAGTGATCTCCAAACTGCGGCCCGGGGGCCGAAGGTGGACCTTGGGGCACTGTTGCTCTTACTAATAAGACATTTATTCCTCCCACTGACACCAATGATGGGACACTATGCCTCCCACTGACACCAATGATGGGGCACTATGCCTCCCACTGACAACAATGGGGCACTATGCCTCCCACTGACAACAATGATGGGGCACTATTCCTCCCACTGATACCAATGATGGGGCACTATGCCTCCCACTGACACCAATGATGGGGCACTATGCCTCCCACTGACACCAATGATGGGGCACTATGCCTCCCACTGACGGGGCACTGTTCCTCCCACAGACACCAACGATGGGGCACTGTTCCTCCCACTGACACCAACGATGGGGCACTGTTCCTCCCACTGACACCAACGATGGGGCACTGTTCCTCCCACTGACACCAACGATGGGGCACTGTTCCTCCCACTGACACCAACGATGGGGCACTGTTCCTCCCACTGACACCAACGATGGGGCACTGTTCCTCCCACTGACACCAACGATGGGGCACTGTTCCTCCCACTGACACCAACGATGGGGCACTGTTCCTCCCACTGACACCAACGATGGGGCACCGTTCCTCCCACTGACACCAACGATGGGGCACCGTTCCTCCCACTGACACCAACGATGGGGCACCGTTCCTCCCACTGACACCAACGATAAAGCACCGTTCCTCCCACTGACACCAACGATAAAGCACCGTTCCTCCCACTGACACCAACGATGGGGCACTATTCCTCCCACTGACACCAATGATGGGGAACTATTCCTCCCATGGACACCAATGATGGGGAACTATTCCTCCCATGGACACCAATGATGGGGCACTATTCCTCCCACTGACACCAATGATGGGGAACTATTCCTCCCATGGTCACAAATGATGGTGAACTATTCCTCCCATGGTCACAAATGATGGGGAACTATTCCTCCCACTGATACCAATGATGGGGAACTATTCCCCCCACTGACACCAATGATGGGGAACTATTCCTCCCATGGTCACAAATGATGGTGAACTATTCCTCCCATGGTCACAAATGATGGGGCACTATTCCTCCCACTGACACCAATGATGGGGCACTATTCCTCCCACTGACACCAATGATGGGGCACTATTCCTCCCACTGACACCAATGATGGGGCACTATTCCTCCCACTGACACCAATGATGGGGCACTATTCCTCCCACTGACACCAATGATGGGGCACTATTCCTCCCACTGACACCAATGATGGGGCACTATTCCTCCCACTGACACCAATGATGGGGCACTATTCCTCCCACTGATACCAATGATGGGGCACTATTCCTCCCACTGACACCCATGATGGGGCACTATTCCTCCCACTGACACCCATGATGGGGCATCATTCCTCTCACCTTAAAGTCTGAAGGAAAGTAAACTGGCCCTTAGTTTAGAAAGTTTGGAGACCCCTGATCTACAGGAAGACAACGCAGGTCTCAATCACGCACCTTGCGCTATCCGCAGCTTCACTTCCAGGTCGACCGGAGTGGACACGACCGACTTCGTCAGCACCAACACGTTCTCCAGACCAATCACCACAACCAGATAAGGAAAGATCTCCCTGCAGGAAACAGAGTCAGTTTATACCATAGATCTCCATAGACTAGCCTGGTCCCCAATAACCACCCGAAGACCCCCGCCTTTTCCTGACACACTTTGTTTACGTGTAAAAATCTGTATTTTTTCGGCTAGAAAATTACTTGGAACCCCCAAAACATTAAATATTTATTTTTAGCAGAGGCCCTAGAGAATACAATGGCGAGTGTTGCAATTTTTTATGTCACGCAGTATTTGTGCGCCGATTTTTGAAATGCAATTTTTTTTTTGGAAAAAAAACACTTTAATGAATTTTAATACACAGAAAACACAATACATAACTTCCATTTTTTGGTAAAATATAAAAGATGATGTTACGCCAAGTAAATAGATACCCAACATGTCATCGCCTTAAAATTGCGCACGCACACTCGTGGAATGGCGACAAACTACGGTACTTAAAGAGGAGTTCCAGGCTATCCCCCACCAAATTAAAAAAGTCAGCAGCTACAAATACTGAAGCTGCTGACTTTTGATAGGAGGACACTTACCTGTCCAGAGGTCCAGCGCCGTTGTCACCCATGCTAGCTCTTCACTAGTCTCTGGGTTCCAGGCGCCGGCATTCCACGTAAAGGAAACCGGAAGTTCCTTATGCGCACCTTGTGAGTGGGGGTGGGGGGGATGAACTTCCGGCTCAGTTCGCTGCAGCGAATGGAGCTGGAAGTGGGGTACCGTCAATATCAGGCTCCCCTGCCACCCCCCCCCCCCCCCCCCCACAAAAAAAGTGCCTATAATAGCAGTGGGGGGAGAGAGAAAGTGTAAACAAGTGGACCTTCCCCTTTTGGGAGGATCTCCGCTTTAAAAAATCTCCTTGGTGATGCGTTAAAACATTTCTGTCCATTTAGAGTTACAAAGGAGGATAGCGCTAGCATTGATCGCTAGACCGTTCGTGGCGATATGTGTGATGCGAACACCGTTCACATATGTAACCTGTATAGGAGCTTGCCTCTGCGTGTGAGCACGAGGGGAAGGGGGTGCTTAAAAAACATTTTTATCCATTTATAGTTACACAAGAAGATAGCGCTAGCATTGATGCTCTCGATAGACCGTTTGTGGCGTTGTGTGATGCGAACACTGTTCTCATATGCAACCTAAGTAGGAGCTTGCCTCTGTGTGTGAGCACGGGGGGATGGGGGTGCTTTAAAAACATTTTTTTTATTTTATTACATTTTTTTTTATTTTTACACTGTCCCCTTAGTTCTTTTTTTTTTAATCGCTTTTATTGCTATCACAAGAAATGTAAACATCACTTGTGACAGCAATAAAGCATGACAGGTCCCCTTTATGGAGGCATCTGGGGTCTATAAAACCCCTGATCTCTCCTCTACCCTTGAAAGCATGAGATAAAAGGAAAAAAAAAAAAAAAAACATTGATCTCCGGCCTAACCGGAAGTGATGAAAAGCTCGTTGCTTCCGGTCTCCTTGAACAGGGGTCTCCAAACTCTATAAATGAAGGGCCAGTTCACTGTCCTTCAGACTTTAGGGGGACCGGACTGTGGCCAGTCGGAGCAAAAAAAATGTCACAGCATCAGTGGGAGAAAACAATACCTCATCATTGGTATTAACGGGAGCAACAGCGCCCCCACCGTTGGCCTCAGTGGGAGCAACAGCGCCCCCACCGTTGGCCTCAGTGGGAGCAACAGCGCCCCCACCGTTGGCCTCAGTGGGAGCAACAGCGCCCCCACCGTTGGCCTCAGTGGGAGCAACAGCGCCCCCATCGTTGGCCTCAGTGGGAGCAATAGTGCCCCTTATTATTGGTGTCATTGGGAGTAATAGTGCCCCACTGTTGCTGATGGTGAGGGGGAATTATGCCCCAAGGGCCAGATAAAAGCAAGCAAAGGGCCGCATCTGGCCCCCCGGGCCGCAGTTTGGAAACCACTGTCCTAGACCATAGAGATGATCAGGAGCGATCCGGTCCCTGATCACCTCTATGGTAAGCCAGCTTCAGTGCGGTAACGGGAAAGTCTGGAGAGGCACCAGAGGGTGACAGGAGGAGGGGACCCTCCTTTCTCCTCCTGTAAAACCAATCCCAGCGGCTTAAGAGCCGGCTGATTTAAAATACAGGAGTGATACAGGCATCAGCCCAGTGTGAGCTTCTGGACCGGCGCCGTACATGTTTGTCACCTGGTCCAGAAGTGGATATACAGGACAGACTATAATAAAACTACTTACCCGCCATTGAGGGTGGGGGTCAGTCCAAACAAGGTGCACAAACCCACCGACATCAGCAGGGAGCTCAGGACCGTCACCACCGCCGCCAGCGCCAGACCCCACTTCGACTTCACCAGGTCAATCTTCCCTGCAAAGGAAAGGAGACGACGGTCACCCCGTGACACCCTGACAGGGCGACACAGATCAAAGCTGAGCTGGAAGGCCAGACGCTACATTGTTACATAGCAGATTTTTCGGCTTGGAACCGCCCCATATATGGATCACATACAGTGAAGGAAATGCGTATTTGATCCCCGGCTGATGCTGAATGTTCACCCCTCACACAGAAATGATCGGTCTAACAATGGAATGTTCGCCCCTCACACAGAAATGATCGGTCTAACAATGGAATGTTCACCCCTCACACAGAAATGATCGGTCTAACAATGGAATGTTCGGTGTAAACACTGAGAGACAGAATACAACAACAAATTCAGCAGAAATGCGTCTAACAAATGATGACTGATCTGCATGTTCATGAGGGAAATAAGGATTTGATCCCCTTCACAAAACAGGACTTAGTACTTGGTGGCAAATCCCTTGTTGGCCATCACAGAGGTCAGACGTTTCCTGGAGTTGGCCCCCAGGTTCGCACACATCTCAGGCCCACTCCTCTTGGCAGATCCTCTCCAAGTCTTTAAGGTTTGGTGGCTGACGTTTAGCAACTCGAACTTTCAGCTCCCTCCACAGATTTTCCATCAGATTAAGGTCTGGAGACTGGCTAGGCCACTCCAGGACCTTAATGTGCTTCTTCTTGAGCTGCTCCTTTGTTGCCTTGGCCGTGTGTTTTGGGTCATTGTCATGCTGGAACACCCATCCACAACCCATTTTCAATGCTCTGGCTGAGGGAAGAAGGTTCTCACCCAAGATTTGAGGGTACATTGCCCCGTTCATCGTCCCATTGAAGCGGTGCAGTTGTCCTGTCCCCTTAGCAGAAAAACACCCCCAAAGCAGAATGTTTCCACCATGTTTCACAGTTGGGATGCTGTTCTTGGGGTTATAGGCAGCATTCCTCCTCTTTCAAAGACGGCGAGTTGAGTTGATGCCAAAGAGCTGGATTTTGGTCTCCTCTGACCACAACACTTCCCACCAGTCCTCCTCTGCATCATTCAGATGTTCAGTGGCAGACTTCAGACGGGCCTGGACATGTGCTTTCTTGAGCAGAGGGACCTTGCGGTCACTGCAGGATTTCAGTCCTTGTCGGCGTAGTGTGTTACCAATTGTTTTCTTGGTGACTGTGGTCCCAGCTGCCTGGAGATCATTGACAAGATCCTCACGTGTAGTTCTGGGATGATTCCTCACTGTTCTCATGATCATTGACACTCCACGAGGTGAGATCTCGCATGGTGCACCAGACCTAGGGAGACTGACACTTGTTTTGTGTTTCTTCCATTTGTGAATGATTGCACCAACTGTTGTCACCTTCTCACCAAGCTGCTTGGCCATAGTTTGGTAGCCCAGTCCAGCCTTGTGTAGGTCTACCATCTTGTCCCTGACCTCCTTGGACAGCTCTTTGGTCTTTGCCATGGTGGAGAGTTTGGAATCTGATGGTTTGATTGCTCCTGTGGACAGGTGTCTTTTATACAGGTAACACAATGAGATTAGCAGCACTCCCTTTAAGAGACTGCTTCTAATCTCAGCTTGTTACCTGTATGAGAGACACCTGGGAGCCAGAAATCCTGCTGAATGATAGGGGATCAAATCCTTCTTTCCCTCATGAACATGCAGATCCGTCATCATTTGTTAGACGCATTTCTGCTGAATTTGTTGTTTGTATTCTGTCTCAGTGTTCCAACACACTGAAAATTTGATTTTTAGACCGATCATTTCTGTGTGAGGGGCGAACATTCAACATCAGCAGGGGAGCAAATACGCATTTCCTTCACTGTAACAGTTTTTTCGGCTTGGAATCCCTCCACATACGGATCACATAAATACACGATTTTCTGGGTTTTATTTCCTGGAATACAATTGTCTATATATACAGGAGTCAGGACAAGAAATAGGAAGCTTCCCCAATATCCATGAGGGCAGCCATCGGCCCCCCGGGGGTTAGATACGCCGGGCCCAGAAAGCTGTATCTAGGTGAATGCCAAAATCGTCCGCGGCACGGCCACGCTCAAGACTGAATGACACATAAATCCCGCATTGCACAATGGGATGGTGTCAGACGCAGCGCCAGGCTTGGTCTTCTGGGGTTATTCACAGTTCAGTCCCTCACACGGTACTCTCCTTTTATCTGCTCTAACAGTTCGTTTTTGAGGACGAACCTTCGGGGGCTCCAAGAACTCATGCAGACGGGATTTAGTTACGGTTGCTAAAAAAATCCACAGCAGTGGTCTCCAAACTGGGGCCCTGGGACTGGATGTGGCCCTTTGCCTGTCTTTATCTGGCCCCTGGGGTACAATTCTTCCCACTTATACGACACACACTATTCTGTCAACTGATACCAACAGTGGGGTACCATTCCTCCCAATGACCCCAATGATGGGGCACTATTCCTCCCAATGACCCCAATGAATGGGCACTATTCCTCCCAATGACCCCATGATGGGGTACCATTCCTCCCACTGACACCAATGATGGGACACTATTCCTCCCAATGACCCCAATGAATGGGCACTATTCCTCCCACTGACACCAATGATGGGGCCCTATTCCTCCCACTGACACCAATGATGGGGCACTATTCCTAACACTGACACCAATGATGGGGCACTATTCCTCCCACTGATACCAACGATGGGGCACTATTCCTCCCACTGACACCAACAATGTGGCACTATTCCTCCCACTGACACCAACGATGGGGCACTATTCCTCCCACTGACACCAATGATGGGGCACTATTCCTCCCACTGACACCAATGATGGGGCACTATTCCTCCCAATGACACCAATGATGGGGCACTATTCCTCCCAATGACCCCAATGAATGGGCACTATTCCTCCCACTGACACCAATGATGGGGCACTATTCCTCCCACTGATACCAATGATGGGGCACTATTCCTCCCACTGATACCAATAATGGGACACTATTCCTCCCACTGAAAGCGTCCGGACTGGAAGGGGGGGGAGTGTCCGACTGGAAGGGGGGGGGGGAGGGGAGTGTCCGGACTGGAAGGGGGGGGGAGGGGAGTGTCCGGACTGGAAGGGGGGGGGGAGGGGAAGTGTCCGGACTGGAAGGGGGGGGGAGGGGAAGTGTCCGGACTGGAAGGGGGGGGGAGGGGAAGTGTCCGGACTGGAAGGGGGGGGAGGGGAAGTGTCCGGACTGGAAGGGGGGGGGGGGGGGGGGGAGGGGAAGTGTCCGGACTGGAAGGGGGGGGGAGGGGGAAGTGTCCGGACTGGAAGGGGGGGGGGGGGGGAGGGGAAGTGTCCGGACTGGAAGGGGGGGGGGAGGGGAAGTGTCCGGACTGGAAGGGGGGGGGGGGGGGGGAAGTGTCCGGACTGGAAGGGGGAAAGTGTCCGGACTGGAAGGGGGGGAAAGTGTCCGGACTGGAAGGAGGGGAAAGTGTCCGGACTGGAAGGAGGGGAAAGTGTCCGGACTGGAAGGGGGGAAAGTGTCCGGACTGGAAGGGGGAGAAAGTGTCCGGACTGGAAGGGGGGGAAAGTGTCCGGACTGGAAGGGGGGGAGAAAGTGTCCGGACTGGAAGGGGGGAAAGTGTCCGGACTGGAAGGGGGGGAAAGTGTCCGGACTGGAAGGGGGGGAAAGTGTCCGGACTGGAAGGGGGGGAAAGTGTCCGGACTGGAAGGGGGGGAAAGTGTCCGGACTGGAAGGGGGGGGAAAGTGTCCGGACTGGAAGGGGGGGGAAAGTGTCCGGACTGGAAGGGGGGGGAAAGTGTCCGGACTGGAAGGGGGGGGAAAGTGTCCGGACTGGAAGGGGGGGGAAAGTGTCCGGACTGGAAGGGGGGGGAAAGTGTCCGGACTGGAAGGGGGGGAAAGTGTCCGGACTGGAAGGGGGGGAAAGTGTCCGGACTGGAAGGGGGGGAAAGTGTCCGGACTGGAAGGGGGGGAAAGTGTCCGGACTGGAAGGGGAGGAAAGTGTCCGGACTGGAAGGGGGGGAAAGTGTCCGGACTGGAAGGGGGGGAAAGTGTCCGGACTGGAAGGGGGGGAAAGTGTCCGGACTGGAAGGGGGGGAAAGTGTCCGGACTGGAAGGGGGGGAAAGTGTCCGGACTGGAAGGGGGGGAAAGTGTCCGGACTGGAAGGGGGGGAAAGTGTCCGGACTGGAAGGGGGGGAAAGTGTCCGGACTGGAAGGGGGGGAAAAGTGTCCGGACTGGAAGGGGGGGAAAGTGTCCGGACTGGAAGGGGGGGAAAGTGTCCGGACTGGAAGGGGGGGAAAGTGTCCGGACTGGAAGGGGGGGAAAGTGTCCGGACTGGAAGGGGGGGAAAGTGTCCGGACTGGAAGGGGGGAAAGTGTCCGGACTGGAAGGGGGGGAAAGTGTCCGGACTGGAAGGGGGGGAAAGTGTCCGGACTGGAAGGGGGGGAAAGTGTCCGGACTGGAAGGGGGGGAAGTGTCCGGACTGGAAGGGGGGGAAAGTGTCCGGACTGGAAGGGGGTGAAAGTGTCCGGACTGGAAGGGGGGGAAAGTGTCCGGACTGGAAGGGGGGGCCTCTCATGCAGTGCGGCTCTGTCTGTAGGACCCCGAGAAGGTCCAAATGAACCGATGACATGGGACGTCCAGTAACATATATAGAAGTAGAACAAGGCAGACTTGCACTCACTAGTGGAGAAATAAATGTAGGCGAACAGGATGATGTAGGTGGTGACCAGCGGGATCAGCTCAGCTATGCCAATCTCCTCCTTGAAGTGGACATGGACGATGTTCTTCCCCCGGGACGTGCTGTTGGTGCGCGGATACAGCTGCTTCAGATGGGACCTCAGACTGTTCAGAAACCTGAAAAGAGAAAAAAAACGATATAAGAAAACTTACAGGGAATTCATCAACGGCGCCGCTACACTCCTTCATAATTCACAGGAAGCTGCAAAACTGGGGGGTCCTGCATCCTCCTAGTGCAGAATTAAAACTCCTCCTACAAGCTATAACCAGTGACACAGGAAGCTGCAAAACTGAAATGGTGGTCACCGACCAGGCTCTGTAGTGTGGCAGGTGTGCGAGACAAATAGAATTCCAAATTCTTTACAAAATTAGAGGATTCGGGTTTATTACTTGAAATGTAAAAAATGCAAATCCCCCCAAACATAAAATTTTTCAATAATCAATTCCTCTGGGCATGTACACTTAAAGCATGCTTGTTGTATTCACTGTGGAACCTAAGGGGTTATTCCTCTGCATTGTGTAAAAAAGCTGTTTGATCCTGTCTTCTCTGATCCTCCCCTTTTATCTCCTGATAAGACATCGTGGGGAGTCACTCTGTGCATGCTCAGTTTGGTATGTATTGCTAGAGAGGTTTTTTTTTCCCTTTTCGTTCTTAAGAGAGTGCAGGTGATCAGCACAGGGCCAATCAGCACTGTCCAGACAGAGGTCAGGGGTCCTGCATCCTCCTAGAGCAGAATGAAAATTCATCTTACCAGCTATAAACCAGTGACACAGGAAGCTGCAAAACTGAAATAGGAACTAATGGTGTCACCAACCGGACTCTGCATTGTGTAAAAAAAGCTGTTTGATCCTGTCTTCTCAGATCCTTCCCTTCTTCCAGTGTCTCCCTTTTCGCTCCTGATAAGACATCGTGGGGAGTCACTCTGTGTATGCTCAGTGTGGTATGTATTGCTAGAGAGGTTTTTTTTTCCCTTTTCGTTCTTAGAGTGCAGGTGATCAGCACAGGGCCAATCAGCACTGTCCAGACATAGGTCAGGGGTCCTGCAGCCTCCTAGAGCAGAATGAAAATTCATCCTACCAGCTATAAACCAGTGACACAAGAAGCTGCAAATCTGACATAGGAACTAATGGTGTCACCAACCGGGCTCTGCATTGTGTAAAAAAAGCTGTTTGATCCTGTCTTCTCTGATCCTCCCCTTTTATCTCCTGATAAGACATCGTGGGGAATCACTCTGTGCATGCTCAGTTTGGTATGTAGTGCTAGAGAGGTTTTTTTTTTTTCCCTTTTCGTTCTTAGGAGAATGCAGGTGATCAGCACAGGGCCAATCAGCACTGTCCAGACAGAGGTCAGGGGTCCTGCATCCTCCTAGAGCAGAATGAAAATTCATCCTACCAGCTATAAACCAGTGACACAGGAAGCTGCAAATCTGACATAGGAACTAATGGTGTCACCAACCGGGCTCTGCAGTGTGGCAGGTGTGCGAGATGAACAGAATTCCAAATTCTTTACATAATTAGATGATTCACGTTTATTACTTGAAATGTGAATGCAAACCCTCCAAAAAATAAATTTTCCAATAATCAATTCCTCTGGGCATGTACACTTTTTATACTTCACCCTTTTTTATATGTGCATGTCAATACAGGCTAAAGACCTGGGGATCCCGCCGGTCTCCCTGATGTATCTCCGCTTCCTGTCAACATCAACCACGGGTGCAAATGTGTGCTCCCAGCGACAGATATGCGCAGTACTTCCTGTAATTGAAACACACACAAAACGCATAGCAGCACCACCTACTGCTGCGCTGGGGGGCACACATTTGACGGTATAAGAAAACAACTGCTGCAAAAGCGACTGCAGAACTCAATCTCAGTCCCGTGAAGACTGAGATTGAGCTCTGCAGTCACTTTTGCAGCAGTTTTTTTTTCTATTCTGGGTCACAATCCGGCGCAATGTCCTTCTGTTTCGTTCGGTCAGTTGACCGTGTGACCGCGCTTACGCTCATCAGATGTTTTCCCGGAAACTGTATACGCCGCCATAACCTTTGATACTAAACCTCGCGACACGGCAAACCAAGTGGCAACTTCAGTCGCAGAGGCACCAGCTAAGCGACACCAACGATTTGCCTCACTAAGCGCTGACATGACTCCGTATGACTAGCAGTGCATGCAGTGAATGAGGAAAGCGAGGCTTCCTGCCCGTTAGCTAGGTGTCTCATCACACAGTGGAAGCAAAAGAAGGTTACATCACTTCCGCTGTCTCCGCCAAACATAGTACCCCATTGTTGGTGTCAGTGGGAGGAATAGTGCCCCATCATTGGTGTCAGTGGGAGTATTAATGCCTCATTGTTGTCAGTGGCAGGAATAGTGCCCCATCATTGGTGTCAGTGGGAGGAATAGTGCCCCATCATTGGTATCAGTGGGAGGAATAATAGTGCCCCATCATTGGTGTCAGTGGGAGGAATAGTGCCCCATCATTGGTGTCAGGGGAGGAATAGTGCCCCATCATTGGTGTCAGTGGGAGGAATAGTGCCCCATCATTGGTGTCAGTGGGAGGAATAGTGCCCCATCATTGGTGTCAGTGGGAGGAATAGTGCCCCATCATTGGTGTCAGTGGGAGGAATAGTGCCCCATCATTGGTGTCAGTGGGAGGAATAGTGCCCCATCATTGGTGTCAGTGGGAGGAATAGTGCCCCATCATTGGTGTCAGTGGGAGGAATAGTGCCCCATCATTGGTGTCAGTGGGAGGGATAGTGCCCCATCATTGGTGTCAGTGGGAGGGATAGTGCCCCATCATTGGTGTCAGTGGGAGGATCAGTGCCCCATCATTGGTGTCAGTGGGAGGATTAGTGCCCCATCATTGGTGTCAGTGGGAGGAATAGTGCCCCATCATTGGTGTCAGTGGGAGGAATAGTGCCCCATCATTGGTGTCAGTGGGAGGAATAGTGCCCCATCAGTGGGAGGAATTGTGCCCCATGTCAGTGGGAGGAATAGTGCCCCATTCATTGGTGTCAGTGGGAGGAATAGTGCCCCATTGGTGTCAGTGGGAGGAATAGTGCCCCATCATTGGTATCAGTGGGAGGAATAGTGCCCATCATTGGTATCATCAGGAATGTGCCCCATCATTGGTGTCAGTGGGAGGAATAGTGCCCCATCATTGGTGTCCAGTGGTCCGAGGAATCTATAGTTCTCGCTCCAGTGGGAGGAATAGTGCCCCATCATTGGTGTCAGTGGGAGGAATAGTGCCCCATCATTGGTGTCAGTGGGAGGAATAGTGCCCCATCATTGGTGTCAGTGGGAGGAATAGTGCCCCATCATTGGTGTCAGTGGGAGGAATAGTGCCCCATCATTGGTGTCAGTGGAGGAGGAATAGTGCCCCATCATTGGTGTCAGTGGGAGGAATAGTGTCCCATCATTGGTGTCAGTGGTAGGAATAGTGCCCCATCATTGGTGTCAGTGGGAGGAATAGTGCCCCTCATTGGTATCAGGGAGGAATAGTGCCCCATCATTGGTATCAGTGGGAGGAATAGTGCCCCATCATTGGTGTCAGTGGGAGGAATAGTGCCCCGTCATTGGTGTCAGTGGGAGGAATAGTGCCCCATCATTGGTGTCAGTGGGAGGAATAGTGCCCCATCATTGGTGTCAGTGGGAGGAATAGTGCCCCATCATTGGTGTCAGTGGGAGGAATAGTGCCCCATCATTGGTGTCAGTGGGAGGAATAGTGCCCCATCATTGGTGTCAGTGGGAGGAATAGTGCCCCATCATTGGTGTCAGTGGGAGGAATAGTGCCCCATCATTGGTGTCAGTGGGAGGAATAGTGCCCCATCATTGGTGTCAGTGGGAGGAATAGTGCCCCATCATTGGTGTCAGTGGGAGGAATAGTGCCCCATCATTGGTGTCAGTGGGAGGAATAGTGCCCCATCATTGGTGTCAGTGGGAGGAATAGTGCCCCATCATTGGTGTGTCAGTGGGAGGAATAGTGCCCCGTTGCGTTTACACCTGCAATGTAGGGTATCCATATTTTTGGTCCAACCCCTGTATTTGTGCCAGGTTGGTGGAACATGCAAACACCCCAAAAAACTGCAGATTTTCTTTTAAAGGAGAACTTCAGGTAAAAATAAAAAGCCAAGCAAATGTAAAAATAAGGGGGGGATTTTTGCAACGTTCATCTTTTCAGAGCGTTCCCCTGCAGGAATTTCTCTTCACTACGGTCACCAGTTTTCTGGGTTTAGGCCGGCCAAACGTACTAATGCACTAAAAATGATATTCACACATCATTATGTGGGCAGGACAAGGCCCGCCCACCACTGAAGAGGGCGTGCCTGTGACAGTGAAGGACCAATGCCCACCCACCTTTGGAGAAGAGGCGGAAGGAACCAAGGCAGTGCAGGAAGAAGGCCTGCCAGCTGCTAGAGGAAAAGAGGGAGGGCCCATGACTCTGCAGGAACAAGGGCTGTCCATGGCTGGAGGAGAAAAGGGAGGACCCACAACAGTGCAGGAACAAGGGCAGCCCATGGCTGGAGAAAAAGTGGGAAGACCCATGACAGTGCAAGAACAAGAGCTGCCCATAACTGAAGGAGAAAAGGGAGAACCTGTGACAGCGCAGGAAAAAGTGTGTCCACGGCTGGAGAAGAAGAGGGAGGGTCCCATGATAGTGCAGGAACAAGGGCTGTCCATGGCTGGAGAAGGACGACCCATGACAGTGCAGGGACAAGGGCTGTCCATGGCTGGAGGATAAAAAGGGAGAACACGTGACAGCACAGGAAAAAAAAAGTGCATCCACGGCTGGAGAAGAAGAGGGAGGTCCCATGACAGTGCAGGAACAAGGGCTATCCATGGCTGGAGGAGAAGAGGGAGGTCCCATGACAGTGCAGGAACAAGGGCTGTCCATGGCTGGAGAAGAAGAGGGAGGTCCCATAACAGTGCAGGAACAAGGGCTGCCCATGGCTGGAGAAGAAGAGGGATGACCCATGACAGTAAAAGAACAAGGGCTGTCCATGGCTGGAGGAGAAGAGGGATGACCCATGACAGTGCAGGAACAAGGGCTGTCCATGGCTGGAGAAGAAGAGGGATGACCCATGACAGTAAAAGAACAAGGGCTGTCCATGGCTGGAGAAGAAGAGGGAGGTCCCATGACAGTGCAGGAACAAGGGCTGCCCATGGCTGGAGAAGAAGAGGGATGACCCATGACAGTAAAAGAACAAGGGCTGTCCATGGCTGGAGGAGAAGAGGGATGACCCATGACAGTGCAGGAACAAGGGCTGTCCATGGCTGGAGAAGAAGAGAGACGACCCATGACAGTAAAAGAACAAGGGCTGTCTATGGCTGGAGGAGAAGAGGGATGACCCATGACAGTGCAGGAACAAGGGCTGTCCATGGCTGGAGGAGAAGAGGGAGGTCCCATGACAGTGCAGGAACAAGGGCTGTCCATGGCTGGAGGAGAAGAGGGAGGTCCCATGACAGTGCAGGAACAAGGGCTGTCCATGGCTGGAGGAGAAGAGGGAGGTCCCATGACAGTGCAGGAACAAGGGCTGTCCATGGCTGGAGGAGAAGAGGGAGGTCCCATGACAGTGCAGGAACAAGGGCTGTCCATGGCTGGAGGAGAAGAGGGAGGTCCCATGACAGTGCAGGAACAAGGGCTGTCTATGGCTGGAGGAGAAGAGGGAGGTCCCATGACAGTGCAGGAACAAGGGCTGTCTATGGCTGGAGGAGAAGAGGGAGGTCCCATGACAGTGCAGGAACAAGGGCTGTCTATGGCTGGAGGAGAAGAGGGAGGTCCCATGACAGTGCAGGAACAAGGGCTGTCCATGGCTGTAGAAGAAGAGGGATGACCCATGACAGTAAAAGAACAAGGGCTGTCCATGGCTGGAGAAGAAGAGGGAGGACCCATGACAGTAAAAGAACAAGGGCTGTCCATGGGTGAAGAAGAAGAGGGAGGTCCCATGACAGTGCAGGAACAAGGGCTGTCCATGGCTGGAGAAGAAGAGGAGGTCCCATGACAGTGCAGGAACAAGGGCTGTCCATGGCTGGAGAAGAAGAGGGAGGTCCCATGACAGTGCAGGAACAAGGGCTGTCCATGGCTGGAGAAGAAGAGGGATGACCCATGACAGTGCAGGAACAAGGGCTGTCCATGGCTGGAGGAGAAGAGGGATGACCCATGACAGTGCAGGAACAAGGGCTGTCCATGGCTGGAGAAGAAGAGGGATGACCCATGACAGTGCAGGAACAAGGGCTGTCCATGGCTGGAGGAGAAGAGGGATGACCCATGACAGTGCAGGAACAAGGGCTGTCCATGGCTGGAGAAGAAGAGGGATGACCCATGACAGTGCAGGAACAAGGGCTGTCCATGGCTGGAGAAGAAGAGGGAGGTCCCATGACAGTGCAGGAACAAGGGCTGTCCATGGCTGGAGAAGAAGAGAGGGATGACCCATGACAGTGCAGGAACAAGGGCTGTCCATGGCTGGAGGAGAAGAGGGAGAACCTGTGACAACGCAGGATAGAAGTGCTCCCACGGCTGGAGACTAAGAGGCAGGACCCATGACAGTGCAGGAACAAGGGCTGTCCATGGCTGCAGAAGAAGAGGGAGGTCCCATGACAGTGCAGGAACAAGGGCTGTCCACGGCTGGAGACGAAGAGGCAGGACCCATGACAGCGCAGGAGCAAGGCCCTCAATCGAATGGAGAAGAGGGATATTCTGTATACATTGTGTATATAAAATAAATACATATATGAAGCTCTTCTCCTCTACGGATGGTTGAGAACAACACCCCTAAAAGCATTGTGGCAGACTAACATTTCAATCTCAGGGCAAACTCCTTGACTTATAGTGAGGTAACAGAAACACTGGGTGCCAGTCACTTTAGCATTTTCCACACATGTATTGCTAAATAAACTTCTGGAAGAGAGGGTCAGGGATACAGGACAGCCAAAAAGACGACGATCGGGTCCTCTAGTAGATGCTGGCCCTTTAACCCCTCGCCCACCGAGCACTTATACCCCCTTCCTTACCAGGCCAATTTTCAGCTTTCAGCGCTGACGCACTTTGATTGACAATTGCGCGGTCATGCAACATTGTACCCATATGAAATTTTGATCATTTTTTTCTCACAAATAGAGCTTTCTTTTGGTGGTATTTAATCGCCACTGGGCGCTTTACTTTTTGCGCTATATAAATTAAAAAATGCAAAAAATTTGAAAAAAAAAAAAAAAGTTTCTTTGTTTCTATTATAAAATTTTTCAAACAGGTATTTTTTCTCCTTCACTGATGTGCGTTGATGAGGCGGCACTGATGGGCACTGATAGGCGGCACTGATGGGCACTGATAGGCAGCACTAAAGGGCACTGATAGGCAGTACTAAGGAGGTGGCACGGATAGGCGGCACTGATAGGCAGCACTAATGAGGTGTCACGGATAGGTGGCACTAATATGCAGCACTGATAGGCGGCACTGATAGGTGACACTGATGATGGGTACTGATAGATGGCACTGACTGGCATCACTGCTGGGCACTGACTGGCGGCACTGACTGGCATCAACCGCTGGGCACTGACTGGCAGCACTGCTGGGCTGCACTGGTGGGTGGCACTGGTGGGCAGCACTGGTGGGTGGGCACAGGTGGGTGGGCACTGGTGGGTGGGCACTGCTGGGCACAGGTAGGTGGCACTTTTGGGCACAGGTGTGTGACACTGCAGAGTGGCACAGGTGGGTGCACTGCTGGGCACAGGTGGGTGCACTGCTGGGCACAGGTGGGTGGAGCTAGTGGGCGCACTGCTGGGCACAGGTGGGCGGAACTTGTGGGTGGCACTGCTGGGCACCGATCATCAGGGCACTGATCATCAGTGGCCCTGATGATCGGTGCCGATCCCCGCTCTGACAACTGCCGGTTCTTGGCAGTACTTTCCTCATGATCTGACAGTGTGAGGAAAGTGCAGCCGAGAACCGGCACTTGCATTTCCCTCTGATCAGCGTGTCATTGGACACCGCTGATCACGTGGTAAAAGGCCGGTATGATTGGCCTTTTACCACATCTCGTGATCAGCTGTGTCCGTAGGACACAGCGATCACGGAGATCGCCGGGTGCGCGCCCCCTGGGGGAGCGCTCTGGGGGGGACGTCATATGACGTCCACCCAGAACTGGCCGGCCGCAGTGAAGCCGTCATTCGGCTATCTGCGGTCGGCAACTAGTTAATGACAGCCAAATAAATCTAATATGCCTGTAAGCAGTCACTGGGCCCCTCTCGGGCTGCAGTGGATCCTCCAATTTTAGATGCTTTTAGAGCCATGAGTGCAGGGGGAGGTTTGGGTGAGGAGATCGGTCAAGTCAAGTCTAGAGGGGGGTTCAGATTTGAAATAATAAAAAATCCACAAACATCTATCCATCATAAAGTTGATCCAGGGAATATCCGATTGCCTCTCGGGGGATCAGGAAGGAATTTTTTTCCCCTGCAGGAGCAAATTGGATCGTGCTTTGCTGGGTGTTCTTGCCTTCCTCTGGATCAACTGTGGCTGTGGGAGTATAACTTTTTTTTTTTTGTAATGGTTGAACTGGATGGACTTTTGTCTTTTTTCAGCCAGACAAACTATGTATCACGCATACACAATACCCAATTCCTGGATTTATCAAACAGCCAAAGTCTCCCATCTACTCACTTGGCGTCATATCTGCGCAGCACCAGTGTGATGGTGTAGGACACAAGCCGTTTGCGGTTGTACAGGCTGACTCCGCTCTGCTTTCCCGGAACCCCAAACAGCAAATCTGCTCATAGGAAAAACAAAAAACAAAAAGATCAGATCTTACAGAACACACCAAGGGGCAGGACAATACTTTTAGGATTTTCAATGATTATTTTATAAATGGGCCTAAATAATAAAAGATCAAAAACATTTCTTAGGAGTCACATCAGTGAATACAATAATACGTATTATACGTAAGGGAAGGGTATTTGGGTTGCTAGGGTTCCTGATCACAAATTTGCAAGTTTAAATGTGAGAATGGAATACTGCTGCCAGTGGTAACTTTAAAGCAGTTAAAGCGGGGTTCCAGCTGACAAAAAAAAAAGTTGGCAGTTACAAAAACTGTAAAATACAGACACTTATGCCGGCCATAGATGGGTCGAAAATCGGCCGATTTTCGGATCGTTAGTGGGCTATTTGTTCGGCCGTTTTTCAGTATTTTGGCCGTTTTTTTTTTATCGGTAAAAGTTGGGGAAAAAATCGTCCGATTTTGCCGATCGGCCGATTTTCGCGGCAATAATGGGCAAATCGGCCGATTTTTTACCGATAAAAAATCTGCGCATGAGCAGTGACCTGCTACAGGAAGACAAAAAGAAGAAAAAGAAGAAGAGGAAGAAGAGGATGATGACGATGAAGAAGAAGAGGATGATGACGATGAAGAAGAAGAGGATGACGATGAAGAAGAAGAGGATGATGATGATGATGAAGAAGAGGATGATGATGACGATGAAGAAGAAGAGGATGATGATGAAGAAGAAGGGGATGATGATGAAGAAGGGGATGATGATGACGATGAAGAAGAAGAAGAAGAAGAAGAAGGGGAGGATGATGATGAGGAAGAAGAAGAGGATGATGATGAGGAAGAAGAAGAGGATGATGATGAGGAAGAAGAGGATGATGATGAGGAAGAAGAAGAGGATGATGATGATGATGAAGAAGAAGAAGAAGAAGAAGAAAAAGAAGAAGAAGAAAAAAAGAAGAAGAGGATGATGATGAAGAAGTAGTAGAAGAAGAAGAAGAGGATGATGATGAAGAAGAAGAAGAGGATGATGATGAAGAAGAAGAAGAAGAAGAAGAGGATGATGATGAAGAAGAAGAAGAAGAAGAAGAGGATGATGATGATGAAGTAGAAGAAGAAGAGGATGATGAAGAAGTAGAAGAAGAAGAGGATGATGATAATGATGATGATGATGAAGAAGTAGAAGAAGAAGATGAAGAAGAGGATGATGATGAAGAAGTAGAAGAAGATGAAGAAGGGGATGATGAAGAAGTAGAAGAAGAAGAAGAGGATGATGATGACGAAGAAGAAGAAGAGGAGGATGATTATGAAGAAGATGAGGATGATGATGAAGAAAAAGAAGATGATGAAGAAGAAGAGGATGATGATGAAGAAGGAGAAGAATAAGAAGGATGAAAAATAAGAGGAATTCCAGTCCGGCAAAAAGTGTCCCTGCAGAGAGCTCCGCTATTTCTTTGACAGTTCTTTGACATTTACAGCGGTTGCAACATTGTATCTATTTGTTTCCGAATAAAAACATCTGTATCCTAAATGGATACAAATAGATACAATGTTGCAACCGCTGTAAATGTCAAAGAACTGTCAAAGAAATAGCGGCGCTCTCTGCAGGGACACTTTTTGCCGGCTGTAGACGGGATGAAAATCGGCCGATTTTTTTTTACCATTGGTGGTAACGTTGGCCGCTTGAACGACCAATTTTTTCGTTTTTTTTAAAAGAAAAATCGGCCGTTTTTCTCCCCGTCTATGGCCTGCATTATGCCGGCCATAGACGTTTAGTTTTTCGGCCGAAAATTTGGATGATAAACAAACTATCGGTCGTTTTGTTGTCACCAATAATTATGAAAATCGGCCGTTTTTTTAGTAAATTTTCCAGCATGACCAATAAAAGAAATGAGGCGGAACCGCGAAAATCGGCTGATGACATTGCCCCACTAGCGGTGCGAATATCGGCCGATTATTCTTTCAGACCAAAATTCGGCCGATAAACGAACCGTCTATGGCCTGCGTTACCTGTCCCTCGGTCCAGGGGTGTCCTCACCGCAGCTGGTTTCACCGGCCGTCTTCTTTCCCTGGCGCCGACATCTTCAATGTGGGCACCCGGCTGTGACAGCTTGCGGCTACACAGCCAGGTGCCCACTGAGCATGTGCGAGAAGCGCTGCGCTTTGTGAATGGCCCCGTAGTCTTCTGGGACCTGTCACGTGTCCCAGAAGACTACCGGGGGGGGGGTGGACAACGTCCGTTTCCGATCGCAGTGGAAGTGGGAGCGGGTACCTGTCAAATTCAGGTACCTGCTCCCAAAAGGTGCCAATCATTAATGGGGAGCGGGGGACAAAGACTTAAAGCGGAACTTCCCCTTTTGAGTGGAGCTCTGCTTAAAACTGTAAGGGCAGCAGCACTGCAGAAGCTCGCAGCGCCATCACACGGCCATTGAGCCCTGCGCATTTCCAGTATAATATACACTCACCGGCCTCTAATAGGTCCACCTGTTTTATTGCTTGATAACACAAATTGCTAATCAGCCAATCACATGGCAGCAACTCAATGCATTTAAGCATCTAGATGTGGTGAAGACGACTTGCTGAAGTTCAAACCGAGCATCAGAATGGGGAAGAAAGGGGATTTAAGTGACTTTGACCGTGGCGTGGTTGTTGGTGCCAGATGGGCTGGTCTGTGTATTTCAGTAAACTGTTGATCTACTGGGATTTTTACGCACAACCCTGTCTAGGGTTTAAAGAGAATGGTCCGAAGAGGAGAAAATATCCAGTGAGTGGCAGTTGTGTGGAGGAAAATGCCTTGTTGATGTCAGAGGAGAACGGGCAGACTGGTTCCAGATGATAGAAAGGCATCAGTAACTCAAATAACCACTTCTTACAACCAAGGTATGCAGAATGCCATCTCTGAACGCAAAAACATGTCCAAACTTGAAACAGATGGGCTACAGCAGCAGAAGACCACACCGGGTGCCACTCCTGTCAGCTAAGAACAGGAAACGGAGGCTACAATTCACACAGGCTCACCAAAATTGGACGATAGAAAAAATGTTGCCTGGTCTGATGAGTCTCGATTTCAGCTGCACCATTCAAATGGTAGGGTCAGAATTTGGGGTAAACAACATGAAAGCGTGGATCCATCCTGCCTTGTATCAATGGTTCATGGATGTGCAGCCGACAAATCTGCAGCAACTGCAGGATGCTATCAAGTCAACATGGACCAAAATCTCTGAGGAATGTTTCCAACACCTTGTTGAATCTATGCCACGAAGAATGAAGGCAAAAGGGGGTCCAACCCGGTACTAGCAAGGTGGACCTAATAGTGTGGCCGGTGAGTGTATATCCGCTTGGCAGATTTTGACACGCACAGTCCATAATAGGATCCCCAGCACTGATAAAGAGTGATTTATTGGCCCCTAAAATGCATAGGATATGTTTTTTCTACTGGATGTGACTCTATTGTCAAGAAAAAAAAAAAAAAAGGTTATAAGAAATTTTGAACTGATTATTTGGCACTTGGTTTCTTCTTTCCAGGTAATCAGTTGGGACATGTCAGCTGCTACTCATCGTTTCACATTTTGGAGCCCTACGTGTTTAACTAGTTGCCGACCGCAGATAGCCGAATGACGGCTGCACTGCGGCCGGCCAGTTCTGAGTGGACGTCATATGACGTCCCCCCAGAACGCGCTCTCCTGCGCACACAGCTGATCACGTGATGTGGAAAAAGGCCAATCACAGCGGCCTTTTACCACCTGATCAGCGGTGTCCAATGACACGCTGATCAGAGGGAAATGCAAGTGCCGGTTCTCGGCTGCACTTTCCTCACGCTGTCAGATCGTGAGGAAAGTACTGCCGAGAACCGGCAGTTGTCAGAGCGGGGATCGGCACCAATCATCAGGGCACCGATGATCAGAGCCCTGATGATCGGTGCCCAGCAGTGCCACCCGCAAGTTCCGCCCACCTGTGCCCAGCAGTGCGCCCACTAGCTCCGCCCACCTGTGCCCAGCAGTGCACCCACCTGTGCCCAGCAGTGCACCCACCTGTGCCACTCTGCAATTTCACACACCTGTGCCCAGAAGTGCCACCTACCTGTGCCCAGCAGTGCCACCCACCTGTGCCAACCCACCTGTGTCCACCAGTGCCACCCACCTGTGCCGCCCACCAGTGCAGCCCAGCAGTGCTGCCAGTCAGTGCCGCCAGTCAGTGCCCAGCGGTTGTGCCAGTCAGTGCCGCCAGTCAGTGCCCAGCAGTGATGCCAGTCAGTGCCGTCTATCAGTACCCATCATTAGTGTCACCTATCAGTGCCGCCTATCAGTGCTGCATATTAGTGCCGCCTATCCGTGACACCTCATTAGTGCTGTCTATCAGTGCCGGCTATCCGTGCCACCTCATTAGTACTGCCTATCAGTGCCCATCAGTGCCGCCTATCAGTGCCCATCAGTGCTGCCTCAACGCATATCAGTGAAGGAGAAAAATTACCTGTTTGAAAAATTTTATAATAGAAACAAAGAAACTTTTTTTTTTTTTCAAATTTTTGGCAATTTTTTATTTATAGCGCAAAAAGTAAAGCGCCCAGTGGCGATTAAATACCACCAAAAGAAAGCTCTATTTGTGAGAAAAAAATGATCAAAATTTCATATGGGTACAATGTTGCATGACCGCGCAATTGTCAATCAAAGTGCGGCAGCGCTGAAAGCTGAAAATTGGCCTGGTAAGGAAGGGGGTATAGGTGCCTGGTAGGCAAGGGGTTAATTTGGCATGTAATAAGGCCTTTGGACTACAGACTTGTATGGCTCCCAACATTCAGATTCCGGTCATGTGTACCTCACCTCAGGGTAACATCCGCTAAAGAAACCCAACGGCTAGTATAAAAGAGGCCCTCTAGAGAGAGGCGAGAAGGTTCCCTTACCTCGGAGGGTGGCAGACGTCTGCAGGGTCTTGGGTTCATGCTGTTGGATGGTCCGGATGAGGTCTGGGTCATTGCTGAACAGCTCGCGGTTGTTCTGCCAGAAGTTGGCCGGAGACAGGAGGAGGCAGCCATGTTCGGGCAGTTTGTCCCGGAGCTTTCGAAGTCCTGGCAGTAGATCGGTTACCTGCAGACATACGTCCTCCAGGCTCTTCTGACCGGCTCTGCAGAGGGACACACAGATCTTAACACCAATGGCCGAACACCAAACACACAACATTACTAGCAGAGCGCCCTAAAAAAAAAAAAAAAAAAAGTTCCAGTTCCAGATTTCTTGTTATTGCAAATATTTTGACACCGATGGGTCTATCCAAAGCGAAAACTTTTTTTATTTTTAGTTCCGTAAAGAGCAGAGAAAGGTTAACGTCCTATCAGTCTGTTTGCTGTCTGTGTCCTGCTAGGGAAAAGAAATCCCCTCTTCTTGATGTCACCAGAACAGGTGTACCCATGGGAAGATTTCTCCTCACTTCCTGTTTAGGTAACAACCAGGGGCGGACTGACCATTTGGAAACTCGGGCACCGGCCGAGGGCCCGGGGTCAGTAGGGGGCCCCATGAGATGCCCCTGGTACCTTTTTCATAGGTTTTTTTGAGTTTGGACACAGGGGCCCCATGATCTCCTATTGCCCGGGGGCCACATGAGTTGTCAGTCCGCCCCTGATAACAACTATAAAATGTTATCAAAAAACAATAATAATAAAAGTGCCAGTCTAACTGAACAAATAAATGCAATAAAGCTGTGAAGCCGCCCCTTTAAGTGTGTATCTGAACACCTAGAGGTGAAAAACAAAATAAAGTAAGGCGCTTTCCACAGGTCATAAAAAATAAATAGAACTCTGTGTCAAACTCATTCACAAAATCCAAAAAAAAAAAAAAAAAAAAACAAAAACAAAAAAAAAAAAAACAAAACATTAAAGTGGAGTTTCGCCTAAAAAAAAAAATAAAAGTCAGCAACTACAAAGACTGTAGAGTGGCCACTTACCTGTCCCTCAGTCCAGTAGTGTCCTCACCCCCGCTGGTTTCACCGGTCCGGTCGTCTTCTCTCCCCGGCATCTTCAGTGTGGGCACCCTTGTGGCTTCACAGCTGGGTGCCCACTGCGCATGCGCGAGAAGCGCTCCACTTCATGAATGGTCCTGTAGTCTTCTGGGACCTGTCACGTGTCCCAGAAGACTACGGGGAGGGGATGGGGTGGGTGAGGACAACTTCCGTTTCCGATTGCAGAATTGGGAGCGGGTACCTGTCAAATTCGGGTACCCGCTCCCCAAAGGTGCCAATCCTTAATGGGGAGTGGGGGACAAAAGCTTAAAGCGGAACCAGGGACGGACTGACAACTCATGGGGCCCCCGGGCAATAAGGGATCATGGGGCCCCTGTGTCCTTGCCCGCACACAAAAAAAGCCTATGAAAAAGCCAATGAAAGATACCAGGGGCATCTCATGGGGCCCCCTACTGACCCCGGCCCTCGGGCGGTGCCCGAGTGCTCGAATGGTCAGTCCGCCCCTGAGGGGAACATCCCCTTTTAGGTGGAGCTCCGCTTTAAGTCCCAAAACCATTTGAGCAAAAACACTAGACCGTTCCTCTTGATCCGTGCACCCAACTGTCACCACACATGAGCCGCAAGCTGCTGCCTGAGGAAGCCGTGACGCCGAAATGCATTGGGCGGGGACCACTGACATCACTTTCGTTTTTTTTTTTGCTGATGTCACATTCTACATGTATGAATACATCAGTGGTTCATATAGTGAACTCGGTGTAGTTATTCATCCTGAGATCATCACAGAGGACAAGGGGGCATTCCTTTTGTCTGGAGGAAAAGAGATTTAATCTCCAAACACGGAAAGGTTTCTTCACAGTGAGAGCTGTGAGAATGTAGAATAGACTCCCTCCAGAGTTGGTTGTGGCCAGCTCAGTGGATTGCTGTAGGAAAGTCCTGGATTCTTTCTTGGATACACAGAATATAACTGGATATAACATTTATAGGGAAAGTTGATCCCGGGAATATCCGATTGCCTCTCGGGGGGCGGGGGGAGGAATTTTTTCCCAGCAGGAGCAAATTGGATCGTGCTTTGCTGGGTTTTTTTTGCCTTCCTCTGGATCACCCTGTGGGTGTAGGATTATAACTTCTTTTTTTTTTGGTTGAACTGGATGGACTTTTGTCTTTTTTCAGCCAGACTAACTATGTATGTAACTATGTCACATTTTGGCCTGAACTTCCAATTTTTGGAACGCACTCTGGACTCCAATGACTGGATCGGTACAGCACTATACCAAGAAGGCTGTTTATATTGGTGCCGTTCTGGGGCACATGTATATGTAAGTGGGGCATTGGCTTTTATTATGTGTTTAACAGCAATTTCAATAAATATTACACTAGAAGAAATTCTCTTTGGCATGTGTTGCTGAGTATGGAGAGGAGGTACAGCATGGGCAGCACAGTGGCTAAATGGTTAGCACTTCCTCCTGGCAGTACTCGGGCCGTTGGTTCAATTCCCAACCACGGCACCACCTGCCTGGAGTTTGCATGTTCTCCCTGTGTCTGCGTGGGTTTCCTCCGGGTACTGCGGTTTCCTCCCACACTCCAAAGACATGCTGGTAGGTGAATTGGCTCCTGTCTAAATTGTCCCTAGTATGTGTATGTATGAATGTGAGTTAGGACCTTAGATTGGACGCCCCTTGAGGGTTAGGGACCTTAGATTGTACGCCCCTTGAGAGTTAGGAACCTTAGATTGTACGCCCCTTGAGGGTCAGGGACCTTAGATTGTACGCCCCTTGAGGGTCAGGGACCTTAGATTGTACGCCCCTTGAGGGTTAGGGACCTTAGATTGTACGCCCCTTGAGGGTTAGGGACCTTAGATTGGACGCCCCTTGAGGGTTAGGGACCTTAGATTGGACGCCCCTTGAGGGTTAGGGACCTTAGATTGTACGCCCCTCGGGGGTTAGGGACCTTAGATTGTACACCCCTCGAGGGTTAGGGACCTTAGATTGTACGCCCCTCGAGGGTCAGGGACCTTAGATTGTACGCCCCTTGAGGGTTAGGGACCTTAGATTGTACGCCCCTTGAGGGTTAGGGACCTTAGATTGTACATCTCTTGAGGGTTAGGGACCTTAGATTGGACGCCCCTTGAGGGTGAGGGACCTTAGATTGGACGCCCCTTGAGGGTTAGGGACCTTAGATTGGACGCCCCTTGAGGGTTAGGGACCTTAAATTGTACGCCCCTTGAGGGTGAGGGACCTTAGATTGTACGCCCCTTGAGGGTTAGGGACCTTAGATTGTACGCCCCTTGAGGGTCAGGGACCTTAGATTGTACACCCCTTGAGGGTTAGGGACCTTAGATTGTACGCCCCTTGAGGGTTAGGGACCTTAGATTGGACGCCCCTTGAGGGTTAGGGACTGATGTGAATGTACAATATATATGTGTAAAGCGCTGCGTAAATTGACGGCGCTATATAAGTACTTGAAATAAATAAATAAAAATTACAGGGGACGTAAAATTTACCATTGAGAATAACGCGGACCCTGAAAGATGACGCCGTAATCTGCTAAACAGCACTCTATGACTGGTATTTAGCGGTCATATTTCTGCGGTGAGTGCGCATTTCTCATACGTGTGGTGATGGTCGGGTGCACAGATCAAGAGGAAAGGTGGAAGAATAAAGCGTTTCCATTATTGTTTGGATTTAAAAAAAAAAAAAAAAAAAAAGAAGATCAAAGAGGTCTGTGCGATTACCGTTTTTTAATCAGATCCGATCACATGATCCTGCAGCCCTGTGTAAGAGAGTGCTTGGCAGCGACTGAATTCCAGGAGTGGTGACGTCACCCATAGGCTCCCATGGCCCAGCCAAGGTTGCCACTCCCTTCTCTCCCCTGCAGCAGCTGATCACTGACACAGGGGAGCCAAAGCTGCGGGATCATGTGACCGGTGTTCCAGCCTCTCCCCTGCAGCAGCTACTCATTGACGCTGAGGAGCCAGGCCTGTGCGATCACATAACCAGACTGGAGTGGATTAAAAATAGGTTTATGGGTACATGTTAATTTTTTTTTTTACAGGTTAGGCAGAATGGGGGGGGGGGGGGGGGGGGGGGATTTTTCTAGACTAATTATATTTTGGCTTTTTTTCCCCACTCTAAGCTTAATCCATAGCAGCAGCTAGGATGTCCATAATCCAACACTAATATTTCATTATTAGACTCTCACAGAATTAGGTCTACAATGGCATTTTAATTAGACCCGAGGTCTTTGCTGAACCTGCTGCTGCCCCCCCCCCCCCCCCATCCCTGATTGTCCCTGTATATTAAGTGAATGCCTTGGCAGCATTTGTGTGAACTGGAAGCACCTGTCTCTGAGCACATGATTCCGGATTTCCTCTACTAAGGAGAACACTCGTGACAACGGAGAACGAAACACGTCCACAGCCAGGAAGTTCTTGTCCCACGGAGATACGACCCCCTTCACCAGGACTTGCTGGATGTAGGCCACAGGAGGTCCAAGGTACTGCAGGAACGTACAAAGTGTAAAATCATAGAAGTGATTAGATGACCAACAAGTGTAATATTTTATATTATACACACACAATCCATTATAATCCATTTATATAGCTGACATATACCGCAGTGCTGTACACAGAACACTGAGCCAGTCACATCAGTCTCTGTACCAGAGGAGCTTACACTCTAATGCCCCCAACCTACAGTCACACACTATTGTTATAAATTTATATATAGCTCCGACATATACCGCAGCGCTGTACAGAGAACACCGATCCAGTCATGTCAGTCTCTGTGTCAGAGGAGCTTACACTCTAATGTCTCCTCCCCCACAGTCACATCAGTCTCTGCCCCAGAGGAGCTTACACTCTAATGTCCCCTCCCCCACAGTCACATCAGTCTCTGCCCCAGAGGAGCTTACACTCTAATGTCCCCTCCCCCACAGTCACATCAGTCTCTGCCCCAGAGGAGCTTACACTCTAATGTCCCCTCCCCCACAGTCACAAGCTATTATACATTTATATAGCTCTGAGATATACCGCAGCGCTGTACAGAGAACACTGAGCCAGTCACATCAGTCTCTGCACCAGAGGAGCTTCACTCTAATGCCCCCAACCTACAGTCACACACTATTGTTATAAATTTATATAGCTCCGACGTATACCGCAGCGCTGTACAGAGAACACCGATCCAGTCATGTCAGTCTCTGTACCAGAGGAGCTTACACTCTAATGTCCCCTCCCCCACAGTCACATCAGTCTCTGCACCAGAGGAGCTTACACTCTAATGTCCCCTCCCCCACAGTCACATCAGTCTCTGTACCAGAGGAGCTTACACTCTAATGTCCCCTCCCCCACAGTCACATCAGTCTCTGCACCAGAGGAGCTTACACTCTAATGTCCCCTCCCCCACAGTCACATCAGTCTCTGCACCAGAGGAGCTTACACTCTAATGTCCCCTTCCCCACAGTCACAAGCTATTATACATTTATATAGCTCTGACATATAACGCAGCGCTGTACAGAGAACACTGAGCAAGTCACGTCAGTCTCTGTGTCAGAGGAGCTTACACTCTAATGTCCCCTCCCCCACAGTCACATCAGTCTCTGCACCAGAGGAGCTTACACTCTAATGTCCCCCCCCCCCACAGTCACATCAGTCTCTGCACCAGAGGAGCTTACACTCTAATGTCCCCCACAGTCACAAACTATTATTATACAATATATAGCTCTGATATATACCGTAGCACTGTACAGAGAACACTGATCCAGTCACGTCAGTCTCTGTGCCAGAGGAGCTTACACTCTAATGTCCCATCAGAGTCGCACACATTTGCAGCACACAAATACAGACACTTTACATGCATAAAGCAGTTCCCCTGGTGGAAGTTGAAGCCAGGACCTCTGCGCTCTCACACACATACATGGGTGGCCAGACAGGGAAAACCAGATTATTTAACACTCAGCCCAAGAGTCATGATGAATCCCAGGGCAGAGAGCAGCCATGTGCACTGTAGTAGATCTCTTAAGATTGTAAGCTCCCAGGATCAGGGCCCTCCTATCCCTCTTGTATTGAACTGTATTGTCTCCCTTTATATTGCAAAGCGCTGAGCAAACTGTTGGTGATATATAAATCCTGTATAATAATAATATATATAAATCCTGTATAATAATAATATATATAAATCCTGTATAATAATAATAACATATAAATCCTGTATAATAATAATAACATATAAATCCTGAATAATAATAATATATAAATCCTGTATAATAATAATATATATAAATCCTGAATAATAATAATAATAATATATATAAATCCTGTATAATAATAATATATATAAATCCTGAATAATAATAATAATAATAATATATATAAATCATGTATAATAATAATATATAAATCCTGTATAATAATAATATATAAATCCTGAATAATAATAATATATAAATCCTGAATAATAATAATAATAATAATAATATATAAATCCTGAATAATAATAATAATAATATATAAATCCTGAATAAGAATAATAATATATAAATCCTGTATAATAATAATATATAAATCCTGAATAATAATAATATATAAATCCTGAATAAGAATAATAATATATAAATCATGTATAATAATAATATATAAATCCTGAATAATAATAATATATAAATCCTGAATAATAATAATAATAATAATATATAAATCCTGAATAATAATAATAATAATATATAAATCCTGTATAATAATAATATAAATCCTGTATAATAATAACAATAATAATAGTAGGTAGTCTCATCCACAGCCAGAAAATGATTGGTGTGCAGCAATGAACAGAGTGCTGATCCCGGCGCGGTGCTATCAGACTCTGGGTACCGCTTATCATGTGGTTCCAAGGTCAGCAATCAGATCCTTGGTGTGTAGATAGTATCAGACACGTGGACAGATAACAGGACCAGGCCAAGGTCACAGCCAGGGATTTATCTCCTCTCTTCCCTCCAGTACAGGACTGCAGGGACGGCTCTGTGACAGCTGGAAGCAGAGCAGGCCAGAACCCAGCGGGGCCACATTCAGGGCTGTCAGGCTCCCCCTCGTTTATTATCACACCTTGGGCTCTGTGATGCTTTCTGCTGGATTAATGGAGGGATTTGGGCTTCCTCTCTATACCCTGTGTGGTCAGACACATTTCTCGGGTCCATAGTACAGGAGTCATTACTTTGGATTTTTCATTCAGTTGCTCCGAGAGTTGCACTGAGCTGCTTCTTTTGTTTTACACTGACTTGTAAGAGGAAGCAGATCAGACCCAAACAGAAGCCCATGTATATGAGCCCTTTAGGTGTCTGGAAAGGGGGATTGTAACGGAACCGGACCCCGACTGCATTAGGGAATTTCCGTTAAACTCCCGCTTCCCTGTCCAAACACCGTCCGGAGACCCCACCACTGGAGACCCCACCGCTGGCCATACAAGACTAGACGGGACCAGTCTTGAAATAAATCAGGAAATAGACTACTTTATTTTAATACAGACACAAGATATATACACAGGGCGGGGCAATACACACCCAGTAACAAGAGACACATCAGCAGACAGTCCCATCAGGAGGGAGGGCTGCTGGAGACACCCCCCACCAAGCCAATACACAAACACATACATCCCATAATAGTTTGCTCCCAAGCAAGACACACAATAGAATGGGATACAACCACATGGCATTAAACAATCAATAACCCCCACCCATCTCCCAGATATGTCTACACAATATTAGAACATTTCACCCTGTACCCCTAACAGGCACAGGGTGACTTACACATAAGAGGGATATGGGGAGCTGAGACAGGGGTCTCCCCACCTCTCTAAAGTGAGCTGTGTTCCATGGGCCCCCACCCAAAGTCACTTCTGTCACAGAGATGAACTCCCCAGTGACACCATATCATCACTCTCACGCTGCCCGGTCTGGCCTCTGGTCACCACAGAGTCATGCCCACATGCAGGACTTGCTATAATGTCCGCCGGCTCCCTGTGTCTAATCCTGGCTGTGAACCATCAGGGAACAATGCAATATGATAATCCCAAGGTGCGGCAGGAACATGTCACTAGAGTGCCTGGACAGAAAACAACATTGCATACCCAATCGGGGCGCTCACTGCGGTCGTTGGGGTTCACTTCAGCTGGAGGGGGAGAGTAATCCTTCACAGGGGTAATGTATTCCACAGGGCCTGTCCCTGGAAGAGGCAGCTTCAACAGTGGGTAACTGGGTATGGGGACAAATTCAGAGAAGGGGGCAAAAGGGAGAGAAAGAGGGGACAGAAGGGGAGGAGAGAGGGAGAGAAAGAGGGGACAGAAAGGGGGGGGAGGGAGAGAAAGGGAAGAGGGGAGAGAAAGGGAAGAGGGGAGAGAAAGGGAAGAGGGGAGAGAAAGGGAAGAGGGGAGAGAAAGGGAAGAGGGGAGAGAGAAAGGGAATAGGGGGAGAGAAAGGGAAGAGGGGACAGAAAGGGGGGGGGGAGAGAAAGAGGGGACAGAAAGGGAGGGGAGAGAAAGAGGGGACAGAAAGGGGGGGGAGAGAAAGAGGGGACAGAAGGGGGGGGGGGGAGGAGAGGGAGAGAAAGAGGGGACAGAAGGGGGGGAGAGGAGAGGGAGAGAAAGAGGGGACAGAAGGGGGGGAGGAGAGGGAGAGAAAGAGGGGACAGAAGGGGGGGGAGGAGAGGGAGAGAAAGAGGGGGACAGAAGGGGGGGGGAGGAGAGGGAGAGAAAGAGGGGACAGAAGGGGGGGGGAGGAGAGGGAGAGAAAGAGGGGACAGAAGGGGGGGGGAGAGGGAGAGAAAGAGGGGACAGAAGGGGGGGGGGAGAGGGAGAGAAAGAGGGGGACAGAAGGGGGGGGGGAGAGGGAGAGAAAGAGGGGACAGAAGGGGGGGGGGAGAGGGAGAGAAAGAGGGGACAGAAGGGGGGGGGAGAGAGGGAGAGAAAGAGGGGACAGAAGGGGGGGGGGGATGAGGGGGAGAGAAAGAGGGGACAGAAGGGGGGGGGGGAGGGAGAGGGAGAGAAAGAGGGGACAGAAGGGGGGGGCGAGAGCGCGAGAGGGGACAGAGGGGGGGGGGAGAGCGCGAGAGGGGACAGAAGGGGGGGGGGGGAGAGCGCGAGAGGGGACAGAAGGGGGGGGAGAGCGCGAGAGAGGGGACAGAAGGGGGGGGATGAGCGCGAGAGGGGACAGAAGGGGGGGGAGAGCGCGAGGGGGGAGAGCGCGAGAGGGGACAGAAGGGGGGTGAGAGCGCGAGAGGGGACAGAAGGGGGGGAGAGCGCGAGAGGGGACAGAAGGGGGGGAGAGAGCGGGACGAGAGGGGACAGAAGGGGGGGGGAGAGCGCGAGAGGGGGACAGAAGGGGGGGGGGAGAGCGCGAGAGGGGACAGAAGGGGGGGGGGGAGAGCGCGAGAGGGGACAGAAGGGGGGGGGGAGAGCGCGAGAGGGGACAGAAGGGGGGGGGAGAGAGCGCGAGAGGGGACAGAAGGGGGGGGGGGAGAGCGCGAGAGGGGACAGAAGGGGGGGGGGGGGAGAGCGAGAGGGGGGACAGAAGGGGGGGGAGAGCGCGAGAGGGGACAGAAGGGGGGGGGGGGAGAGCGCGGCGAGAGGGGACAGAAGGGGGGGGAGGAGAGCGCGAGAGGGGACAGAAGGGGGGGGGAGAGCGCGAGAGGGGACAGAAGGGGGGGGGGGAGAGAGCGCGAGAGGGGACAGAAGGGGGGGGAGAGGAGAGCGCGAGGGGGGAAGGGGGGGGGGGGGACAGAAGGGGGGGGGGGAGAGCGCGAGAGGGGACAGAAGGGGGGGGGGAGAGCGCGAGAGGGGACAGAAGGGGGGGGGGGAGCGCGAGAGGGGACAGAAGGGGGGGGGAGGAGAGAGCGCGAGAGGGGACAGAAGGGGGGGGGAGAGCGCGAGAGGGGACAGAAGGGGGGGGGGAGAGCGCGGAGAGGGGACAGAAGGGGGGGGAGAGCGCGGGGGGGGGGGGGGGGGGAGGGGAGGGGGGGGGGGGGGAGGAGAGCGCGAGAGGGGGGGGAGAGCGCGCGAGGGGGGGAGAGAGCGCGCGCGAGGGGACAGAAGGGGGGGGAGTGCAAGTGTGTGGGGGGGGGGGGAGCGCGAGAGGGAGGGGACAGGGGGGGGGGGAGAGAGAGCGCGAGGGGGGACAGAAGGGGGGGGGGGGGGGAGAGCGCGAGAGGGGACAGAAGGGGGGGGAGAGCGCGAGAGGGGACAGAAGGGGGGGGGGGGGGAGGCGCGAGAGGGGACAGAAGGGGGGGGGGAGCGCGAGAGGGGACAGAAGGGGGGGGGAGCGCGAGAGGGGGACAGAAGGAGGGGGAGAGCGCGAGAGGGGACAGAAGGAGGGGGGAGGCGCGAGGGGGGGGGGGGGGGGGGGGGGGGGGGAGGAGGCGGAGAGGGGGGGAGAGAGAGCGCGCGAGAGGGGGAGAGAGAGCGGAGGGAGGGGACAGAAGGGGGGGGGAGTGCAAGTGGCGGGGGGGGGGGAGAGCGCGAGAGGGAGACAGAAGGGGGGGGGGAGAGCGCGAGAGGGGACAGAAGGGGGGGGGGGGGAGCGCGAGAGGGGACAGAAGGGGGGGGGAGAGCGCGAGGGTGGGGACAGAAGGGGGGGAGAGCGCGAGGGGAGGGGACAGAAGGGAGGGGGGAGGGAGAGCGCGCGAGGGGGACAGAAGGGGTGGGAGTGGGGGGGGAGAGAGCGCGAGTGGGGGGGAGAGAGCGCGAGGGGGGGGGGGGGAGAGCGGAGTAGGGGGGAGAGAGAGCGCGAGTAGGGGGGAGAGAGAGCGCGAGTAGGGGGGAGAGAGAGCGCGAGTAGGGGGGAGAGAGAGGAGCGATAGGGTAGGGGGGAGAGAGAGCGCGAGTAGGGGGGGAGAGGGGGGAGGGGGGGGGGGAGAGAGAGCGCGAGTGGACAGAAGGGGGGGGAGGGGGGGTGGGGGGGGGGGGGGGGGGGGGGGTGGGGGGGGGGGGGGGGGGGGGGGGGGGGGGGGGAGAGAGCGCGATGGGGGGGGGGGGGGGGAGCGCGAGTGGGGGGGGGGGGGGGGGAGCGCGGGTAGGGGGGAGAGAGAGCGCGAGTAGGGGGGGAGAGAGCGCGAGTAGGGGGGAGAGAGAGCGCGAGTAGGGGGGGGAAGAGTGCGAGTGGGGGGGGGGGGAGAGCGCGAGGGGACAGAAGGGGGGGAGAGCGCGAGTGGGGGGGAGAGAACGCGAGTAGGGGGGAGAGAGCGCGAGTAGGGGGGAGAGAGAGAGCGCGAGTAGGGGGGAGGATGAGAGGGGGCGAGTAGGGGGGAGAGAGCGCGAGTAGGGGGGAAAATATAAATAAGAAATGTTACATAATCAGGATACAACATGGAGATACACATCAGGTTCACAAACACGATTTCTGCACACTCATGGTGTCATTTGTGGTTGAGGTGACATAAGTCAGGATCTATGATTGGCTGACACCTGCAGTTTATCCCTCAGACCTGGTCATAGAGGTGTACTGCTCTCTCCAGGATAGGAGCTGAGACTCGGCCAGCCCTGAGCATAGTGTGAAATGAATGGCTGGGATCCTCGCCATGTCACATGACACACTAGGCCCGGCCTGGCACTCCACACTCTTGGACGGCTGCCTGTACACACAGTGGAATGGCCGGGTGTGACACACACATGGAGATGTGTACACAGGAGCTCCAGGAAGGACGCTTTCTAGGAGATTCCAGCTGCGGGAACATTCAGTATTACAGGTAATATTATATAATAACTGGCGGCAGGACAGACACAACACTGCAGGAGAATAGATTACGTTTATATGAAATAAATCCAGCTAAACAAACAACAGGTTCAGGTTTAACCGCTTCCCGACTGCCCTACAGCAGAACTACTGCTACAGGGCGGCAGGGCTGTATTTCCGGGTAGGGGGCGCGCGCACGCCCTACCCACACCGCCATTGGTGGCTACAGATATCGATCACCGGGTCCCGGCTGGAGATTCCCCACCGGCACCCACCGATCGCCGAGGAACACTGACAGTGTATGTAAACAATACAGATCTCTCCCGTCAGCTCCAGCATGCTGCTTTGTATGGCTCTGCATGGCAGCATGTTTACACAGTAAAACACACACGGTTAACCCTTTGATCGCCCCAGAATGTTAACCCCTTCCTGCCCAGTGCCATTAGTGCAGTGTCATTTCTTTTTATTAACACTGATCTCTGTATTGGTGTCATTGGGGATGTCAGTGACACCAAGTCAGTTCCCTCCCAGTGTCAGAATGCCGGCCGCAGTCCCGCTATAAAGTCGCTGATCGCTGCGCGCCCCCCTACCAGGAATGCAAAATCATGTATATATACACACGTGATTTTGTGCACCCATGCCGCCCTGTAGCAGTATTTCTGCTATAGGGTGCTCAGGAAGCGGATAAAAGTAACATTGTTTATACACATCGATCAGAAGGGAGATAGAGAGATACAAAGTAACATTGTTTATACACATCGATCAGACGGGAGATAGAGAGATACAAAGCAGCATTGTTTACAAACATTGATCAGACGGGAGATAGAGAGATACAAAGTAACATTGTTTATAAACATCGATCAGACGGGAGATAGAGAGATACAAAGTAACATTGTTTACAAACATTGATCAGACGGGAGATAGAGAGATACAAAGTAACATTGTTTATAAACATCGATCAGACGGGAGATAGAGAGATACAAAGTAACATTGTTTACAAACATTGATCAGACGGGAGATAGAGAGATACAAAGTAACATTGTTTATAAACATCGATCAGACGGGAGATAGAGATACAAAGTAACATTGTTTATAAAACATCGATCAGACGGGAGATAGAGATACAAAGTAACATTGTTTATAAACATCGATCAGACGGGAGATAGAGATACAAAGTAACATTGTTTATAAACATCGATCAGATGGGAGATAGAGAGATACAAAGTAACATTGTTTATAAACATCGATCAGATGGGAGATAGAGAGATACAAAGTAACATTGTTTATAAACATTGATCAGATGGGAGATAGAGAGATACAAAGTAACATTGTTTATAAACATCGATCAGACGGGAGATAGAGAGATACAAAGTAACATTGTTTATAAACATTGATCAGATGGGAGATAGAGAGATACAAAGTAACATTGTTTATAAACATTGATCAGATGGGAGATAGAGAGATACAAAGTAACATTGTTTATAAACATCGATCAGACGGGAGATAGAGAGATACAAAGTAACATTGTTTATAAACATCGATCAGATGGGAGATAGAGAGATACAAAGTAACATTGTTTATAAACATTGATCAGATGGGAGATAGAGAGATACAAAGTAACATTGTTTATAAACATCGATCAGACGGGAGATAGAGAGATACAAAGTAACATTGTTTACAAACATTGATCAGATGGGAGATAGAGAGATACAAAGTAACATTGTTTATAAACATCGATCAGACGGGAGATAGAGAGATACAAAGTAACATTGTTTATAAACATCGATCAGACGGGAGATACAAAGTAACATTATTTGTATCTCTCTATCTCCCGTCTGATCGATGTTTATAAACAATGTTACTTTGTATCTCTCTATCTCCCATCTGATCAATGTGTATAAAGTAACATTGTTTATAAACTTCGATCAGACGGGAGATAGAGAGATGGCAAAGTAACATTGTTTATAAACATCGATCAAATAGGAGATGGAGAGATACAAAGTAACATTGTTTATATACATTGATCAGACGGGAGATAGAGAGATGCAAAGCAGCATCGTTTACAAACATCGATCAGACAAGACAGAGAGATACAAAGTAACATCGTTTAAAAAACATCGATCAGACGGGAGATAGACAGATACAAGGTAACATCGTTTAAAAACATCGATCAGACGGGAGATAGACAGATACAAGGTAACATGGTTTATAAACATCGATCAGACGGGGGATAGAGATACAAAGTAACATTGTTTATAAACATCGATCAGACGGGAGATAGAGAGATACAAAGTAACATTGTTTATAAACATCGATCAGACAGGGGATAGAGATACAAAGTAACATTGTTTATAAACATCGATCAGACAGGGGATAGAGATACAAAGTAACATTGTTTATAAACATCGATCAGACGGGAGATAGAGATACAAGGTAACATTGTTTATAAACATCGATCAGACGGGAGAGAGAGGGATACAAAGTAACATTGTTTATAAACATCGATCAGACGGGGGATAGAGATACAAGGTAACATTGTTTATAAACATCGATCAGACAGGGGATAGAGATACAAAGTAACATTGTTTATAAACATCGATCAGACAGGGGATAGAGATACAAAGTAACATTGTTTATAAACATCGATCAGACGGGAGATAGAGAGATACAAAGTAACATCGTTTACAAACATCGATCAGACGGGAGATAGAGAGATGCAGAGTAACATTGTTTAAAAACATTGAACAGACGGGAGATGGAGAGATACAAAGTAACATTGTTTATAAACATCGATCAGACAGGGGATAGAGATACAAAGTAACATTGTTTATAAACATCGATCAGACGGGGGATAGAGATACAAAGTAACATTGTTTATAAACATCGATCAGACGGGAGAGAGAGGGATACAAAGTAACATTGTTTATAAACATCGATCAGACAGGGGATAGAGATACAAGGTAACATTGTTTATAAACATCGATCAGACGGGAGATAGAGAGATACAAAGTAACATTGTTTATAAACATCGATCAGGCGGGAGATAGAGAGATACAAAGTAACATTGTTTATAAACATCGATCAGACGGGAGATAGAGATACAAAGTAACATTGTTTATAAACATCGCTCAGACGGGAGACAGAGAGATACAAAGTAACATTGTTTATAAACATCGATCAGACGGGAGATAGAGATACAAGGTAACATTGTTTATAAACATCGATCAGACAGGGGATAGAGATACAAGGTAACATTGTTTATAAACATCGATCAGACGGGAGATAGAGAGATACAAAGTAACATTGTTTATAAACATCGATCAGACAGGGGATAGAGATACAAGGTAACATTGTTTATAAACATAGATCAGGCGGGAGATAGAGAGATACAAAGTAACATTGTTTATAAACATCGATCAGACGGGAGATAGAGAGATACAAAGTAACATTGTTTATAAACATCGCTCAGACGGGAGACAGAGAGATACAAAGTAACATTGTTTATAAACATCGATCAGGCGGGAGATAGAGAGATACAAAGTAACATTGTTTATAAACATCGATCAGACGGGAGATAGAGATACAAGGTAACATTGTTTATAAACATCGATCAGACAGGGGATAGAGATACAAGGTAACATTGTTTATAAACATCGATCAGACGGGAGATAGAGAGATACAAAGTAACATTGTTTATAAACATCGATCAGACAGGGGATAGAGATACAAGGTAACATTGTTTATAAACATCGATCAGGCGGGAGATAGAGAGATACAAAGTAACATTGTTTATAAACATCGATCAGACGGGAGATAGAGATACAAAGTAACATTGTTTATAAACATCGCTCAGACGGGAGACAGAGAGATACAAAGTAACATTGTTTATAAACATCGATCAGGCGGGAGATAGAGAGATACAAAGTAACATTGTTTATAAACATCGATCAGATGGGAGATAGAGATACAAGGTAACATTGTTTATAAACATCGATCAGACGGGGGATACAGATACAAAGTAACATTGTTTATAAACATCGATCAGACGGGAGATAGAGAGATACAAAGTAACATTGTTTATAAACATCGATCAGACGGGATAGAGATACAAAGTAACATTGTTTATAAACATCGATCAGACGGGAGAGAGAGGGATACAAAGTAACATTGTTTATAAACATCGATCAGACAATAGTGTAAAGTATCAGTAACAATGGTGTAATGATATGTGATGTAATAGATGTATAGTAGAGGTGAACAGGGAAGGAATTTCATTAGTTGATCAGATTGGTGCAGGAGATTTGTTATTCTCTGCAGTCCCGTCCTTCTCTTTCCCTTCACATACAAAGCGGACTCTGTGAACCGTCAGGACTACGCAGGGACTCACCAGCAGGCCAGGATGCAGAGCGCTGTGAAGACAATGATAGGGATGGGGTAGGACGCACACAGAAGCCCATGCTTATGGAAGGCCTGCGATATCTTCTCACGCAGTCTGTCAGTCAGGGGCATTCTCAGCGGCTGTCACCTGCGCCCCATCACGTAACGCGCCCTTCAGGCTACTCCACGGCTGCTTCTGTACTGACCCAGGACATGAGCGACCTGCAGGAGGACACAAGACACGGATACGCAGTGTTACTGGTGGAGTACAACGCAAGAATCTACATTTACAGAAACAATGCATCGCCGGGACTACAAGGACCACTAGTACAGAGAACCAGAACCAAAAACTGGACCCATTTCTGGGGGAAAGTCCTTTAGCAACCAAGGTGAAAAGGCCAAAGTGACCCCCTCCTCCCCCATGAGCTTTCAACTACTTTTGTAGTGTACGTTTTAGTTCTTGGCCTTTTATGGCCCTTGTTCTGAAGCACCCAAGGCAGTTGCCTCTTCTGCCTACCCTCGGCCCCGGCCCTGATGGGTACCGCAATTAGGACAGCATATTGTAACAATGGGGAATGAAATCAGAGAAGATGAGAAATATTATTATTATTTGGCGCTTCTCACATAACCAAAACAATTTGACCTCAGTAGAAAGAGAAGGGTGGAATAGTGCCCCATCATTGGTGTCAGTGGGAGGAATAGTGCCCCATCATTGGTGTCAGTGGGAGGAATAGTGCCCCATCATTGGTGTCAGTGGGAGGAATAGTGCCCCATCATTGGTGTCAGTGGGAGGAATAGTGCCCCATCATTGGTATCAGTGGAAGGAATAGTGTCCCATTATTGGTGTCAGTGGGAGGAATAGTGCCCCATCATTGGTGTCAGTGGAAGGAATAGTGCCCCACCACTGGTGTCAGTGGAAGGAATAGTGCCCCACCACTGGTGTCAGTGAGAGGAATAGTGCCCCATCATTGGTGTCAGTGAGAGGAATAGTGCCCCATCATTGGTGTCAGTAGGAGGAATAGTGCCCCATCATTGGTATCAGTGAGGGGAATAGTGCCCCACCATTGGTGTCAGTGGAAGGAATAGTGCCCCACCACTGGTGTCAGTGGGAGAAATGGTGCCCCACCACTGGTGTCAGTGGGAGGAATTGTGCCCCACCACTGGTGTCAGTGGGAGGAATTGTGCCCCACCACTGGTGTCAGTGGGAGGAATTGTGCCCCACCACTGGTGTCAGTGGGAGGAATTGTGCCCCACCACTGGTGTCAGTGGGAGGAATTGTGCCCCACCACTGGTGTCAGTGGGAGGAATTTGTGCCCCACCACTGGTGTCAGTGGGAGGAATGGTGCCCCACCACTGGTGTCAGTGGGAGGAATGGTGCCCCACCACTGGTGTCAGTGGGAGGAATTGTGCCCCACCACTGGTGTCAGTGGGAGGAATTGTGCCCCACCACTGGTGTCAGTGGGAGGAACTGTGCCCCACCACTGGTGTCAGTGGGAGGAATTGTGCCCCACCACTGGTGTCAGTGGGAGGAATTGTGCCCATCATTGGTGTCAGTGGGAGGAATTGTGCCCCATCATTGGTGTCAGTGGGAGGAATAGAGCCCAATCCCTAGTATCAGTGGAAGGAATAGTGGCCCATCATTGGTGTCAGTGGGAGAAAATTGTCCATCACCTGTGTCAGTGCGAGGAAATAGTGCCTGATCACATTGGTGTCAGTGGGGAGGAGGATGGTGATGGGCCATAGGTGTCAGTGAGGGGGAGCTGGAATTATTATTATTATTATACAGGATTTATGGCGCCAACAGTTTGCTCAGCGCTTCACAAGATAACGGGAGACAATACAGTTCAATACAAGAGGGATAGGAGTTCCCTGATCCTGGGAGCTTACAGTCTAGGAGGGAGGGGCTGGTGGTACAAAAGGTAGTAACTGTGGGGGATGGACTGGTTGGAAGAGTAGAAGATTCCATTATTAGTTGAGGGCAGGATAGGCTTCCCTGAAGAGATCGGTTTTCAGAGATCGCCTAAAAGTGAGCAGAGTAGGCGATAGTCTGATAAATTGGGGTAGAGAGTTCCAGAGGATGGGGGAAGCTTTGTAGAAGTCCTGGAGACGAGCATGGGAGGAGGAGACAAGGGAGCTAGAGAGCAGGAGGTCATGCGAGGAGCGGAGAGGACGGTTTGGGTGATATTTGGAGACAAGATCAGTGATGTAATTTGGGGCGGAGTTATAAATGGCTTTATATGTTATTGTGAATGTTTTGAATTTTATCTGTTGGGCAATGGGAAGCCAGTGGAGGGATTGGCAGAGTGGTGGAGGCCAGTGGAGGGATTGGCAGAGAGGGATGGAGGACACTGAGTGGAGGGATTGGCAGAGAGGGATGGAGGACACTGAGTGGAGGGATTGGCAGAGAGGGGTGGAGGACACAGAGGGGGCCAGTGGAGGGATTGGCAGAGAGGGGTGGAGGACACTGAGTGGAGGCCAGTGGAGGGATTGGCAGAGAGGGGTGGAGGACACTGAGTGGAGGCCAGTGGAGGGATTGGCAGAGAGGGGTGGAGGACACTAAGTGGAGGCCAGTGGAGGGATTGGCAGAGAGGGGTGGAGGACACTGAATGGAGGCCAGTGGAGGGATTGGCAGAGAGGGGTGGAGGACACCAAGTGGAGGCCAGTGGAGGGATTGGCAGAGGGGGGTGGAGGACACTGAGTGGAGGCCAGTGGAGGGATTGGCAGAGGGGGGGTGGAGGACACTGAGTGGAGGCCAGTGGAGGGATTGGCAGAGGGGGGTGGAGGACACTGAGTGGAGGCCAGTGGAGGGATTGGCAGAGGGGGGTGGAGGACACTGAGTGGAGACCAGTGGAGGGATTGGCAGAGAGGGGTGGAGGACACTGAGTGGAGGCCAGTGGAGGGATTGGCAGAGAGGGGTGGAGGACACTGAATGGAGGCCAGTGGAGGGATTGGCAGAGAGGGGTGGCAGATACAGAACGGTTAGTAAGGTGGATAAGTCTGGCAGCAGCGTTCATGATAGACTGAAGAGGGGATAGCCTGCGATGAGGTTGGCCAATGAGGAGGGAGTTACAGTAGTTGAAATACCGTCTCATTCCTGATGTCAGTGGAAGGAGTAGTGCTCCATCGTTGGTGTCAGTGGAAGGTATGTTGCCCCACTGTTGGTGTCATTGGGAGGAACAGTACCCCTAGGTCTGAAAAAAAAAAAGGCAAGCAAAGGGCCGCAGTTTGGAGACCACTGATGAAGACCGAACACAAAGAGGACAAGCTATGTGCTGCATCTGAACTTCTCTTACATATGGCCGCAGCCTTTGTGGCCCTCCTACTGGTCCAGGCCTGTGTGCAGCACACATGGCGCGCAGCGTCACACGGCGGTGAAATCGGAGCCGTGTGAGTCACCAATGGAGGGAAAGGTAACAGAGACACAACATTACACAAAGCTTTCCTTCCAGGGAAACCCATAAAACAGGTTTAACAGTCGAGTCCTGGAGCTCCATACAAAGTGTCTGGTAGCTGGGAGTGCGGTGTGTGCGATGAGGTCACTGCACCATGAGGAATTCTACAACCAACCGCCAGACACAGACAACGCACGTCGTTCACTGCTAAATATCAGAAAACATCTCACTTCATGTCAAACAAAAACACAACATAAATCATAACCAATGTCTGTACTGAAGGAGAAATGTCCGAGGAAACACCGGCCACCCCCCTCCCTGACCTACGTGTTCTGGGTCCAGGGGCGGACTGACCATTTGGAAACTCGGGGGCCACTGCCTGAGGGCCCGGGGTCAGTAGGGGGCCCCATGAGATGCCCCCGGTACCTTTTTCATAGGCTTTTTTGAGTTTGGGCAAGGACACAGGGGCCCCATGATCCCCTATTGCCCGGGGGCCCCATGAATTGTCAGTCCGCCCCTGTCTGGACTACTTTTAACTACTTCATGTCCGGACACTCTCTTTCCCCCCCCCCCTTCCCTGTCCGGACACTCTCCCCCCCCCTTCCCTGTCCGGACACTCTCCCCCCCCCCCCCCCCTTCCCCCTGTCCGGACACTCCCCCCCCCCCCTTCCCTGTCCGGACACTCTCCCCCCCGCCCCCCTTCCCTGTCCGGACACTCTCCCGCCCCCCTTCCCTCCGTCCTTCTCCACGCCCCCCTTCCCTGTCCCGGACCACACTCTCCCCCCCCCCCCCTTCCCTGTCCGGACACTCTCCCCCCCCCCCCCCCCTTCCCTGTCCGGACACTCTCTCCCCCCCCCCTTCCCTGTCCGGACACTCTCCCCCCCCCCTTCCCTGTCCGGACACTCTCCCCCCCCCCCCCCCTTTCCCTGTCCGGACACTCTCCCCCCCCCCCCCTTCCCTGTCCCGGACACTCTCCCCCCCCCCCCCCATCCCTGTCCGGACACTCTCCTCCCCCCCCTTCCCTGTCCGGGACACTCTCCCCCCCCCCCCCCCTTCCCTGTCCGGACACTCCCCCCCCCCCCCCCCCCCCCCCCCCCTTCCCTGTCCGGGACACTCTCCCCCCCCCCCCCTTCCCTGTCCGGACACTCTCCACCCCCCCCCTTCCCTGTCCGGACACTCTCCCCCCCCCTTCCCTGTCCGGACACTCTCCCCCCCCCTTCCTGTCCGGACACTCTCCCCCCCCCTTCCCGGTCCGGACACTCTCCCCCCCCCCCCCCCCACTTCCCGGTCCCTGGTTGTTTTACTCTCCCCCCACTCTCCCCCCCCCCCCCCCCCTTCCCGGTCCGGACACTCTCCCCCCCCCCTCCCTTCCCGGTCCGGACACTCTCCCCCCCCCTTCCCGGTCCGGACACTCTCCCCCCCCCTTCCCGGTCCGGACACTCTCCCCCCCTTCCCGGTCCGGACACTTTTACCCCCCTTCCGGTCCGGACACTTTTACCCCCCTTCCGGTCCGGACACTTTACCCCCCCTTCCGGTCCGGACACTTTACCCCCCCTTCCGGTCCGGACACTTTACCCCCCTTCCGGTCCGGACACTTTACCTTCCTTCCGGTCCGGACACTTTACCCCCCTTCCGGTCCGGACACTTTACCCCCCTTCCAGTTCAGACTAATTTTCAGCTTTCAGCTCTATCACACTTTGAATGACAATTGCGCAGTCATGCAACACTGTACCCATATGA